TCCCAGGCTGGCCAGGGAGAAACCCCCATGGCGAGGCAGACCTCTCCTGTCTCGCCCGCTGCTCCCCTGAGCAGTGTATTTCAGCCAGTCTGCTGTTCTGCTCCCCACTGTCTCTGGCGAATCCTCTCACCCCTCCCCCCTCCCATCTCTGGCCTGTGCATAAATAATTCTTTCAAAAGAAAAAAAAAGTGGTCCAGAAATTTTCTGGGGAAAGACCACCAGGTCTCTGCCCCCAAAGCCAGGCCCGTTCTCGCTCCAGGTTCTGGACAACTTCTCAATTTCTATTCCTTCCTCAAACCTCCGATACCTCCCTCCCTGTCTCACTTGCCATTGAGGATTCTGTTTCCTAACTTGCTAAGACTAAGGCAACCAGACCTTCAAGAGACCTCCCTTTCCCCACACCTCGTGGTTTTGACGTCTCTACCACTACTTCCAAAGTGAAAATTTGGCATTTTCTAGCTATTCTGTAATCCCTATTAATTTATACATTATCAAATGTTAAGACTTGAACTCTCTCAGATACAAATTTAAATGTATGTGAAAGGAAACCTGTTACTTGGGATATTATGGTTCTGGAAAATGTCGAAAATTCAACTTATTTAATAATGTGGAGACAGTACAATAAAGAGAAGTTCCCAAGACTTCTTCCCAGAGAGTAACGCCCTATGGCTAAGGGCCCACGTGTTGAAATCAAAAAAGATTGAATCTTAAACCTAATGTGACTCTGAGCAAGTGGATCAAGTTTGTTTCCAAACCTGTGAAATGGGAAGTGGATGTGATTATAAAAGGATGACAAGGAGAGGTCCCCGGGGATGATGGACTCGTCCTGCATCCTGCCTGTGTGTTATTATCTTGGTTTTATTATTTTTTTTCTAGCTATTCAAAATCATCATTGGGAAAAACTGACCAATACAGTTCTCTGTATTAAATACTAATTATTGCATTTGTTCTTACAAGTGACTCTACAATTATCTCATAACAAGTTTAATATTCAAATTCATTTCCAATGTTTTCATTTTTTATATTAATTTTGAAACTGCCCAAGGCAGTTGAACGCTTTTTCTGAGTGAAACAAAGCCAGACTCTTTAATTTTAGCCATGACCTAACCAGAAGGTGGCACTATCACCACATGATGATATCCTAGGAAGCCACCTTCGATGTCAAGAAAATGAAACAGGATCTCAACAATCAAAATCGTCAATGTTAACACTAACTCAGCAATGTTTTTAAGGCGTCATATTTGAAAAAGCACGTTTTCATATTTAAAAATAATATACAAATAATCAAAAATTTTGATCTCTGGAACATAGGTTACAAACAAAAAATACAAACCCATCTGGTGAATGCATTTTCATCACATCCCATGTGACTTGTCAGATCCCTTCAAAGATGAGGGAAATTCACACCACATCTGTTATTAAATGGTTGTATCATTGTATTTTTGCTACACGTTATTTCCTGCTCAGCCATTCACAGAAATATTGGTAAAGGTACAGATGAAGTAAATACATGAGAAAATTCCTGCAGCCACAAGTAAAAGGGAAAGTTCCGAAGGGACCTCTTTTTTGTGAAAGCAACAAAATTTACGAATTGTTCATCTGGGTTTTCTTTAAAATAAAATTTAAAAAAAGTACTTCTCAGAAAGAAAATTGAGTTGAACCTAGCTAGTAGAAATTACCAAGAAAGATATCCTTTATCCAATACTATTATTTTACAGAATGCACTAAGGGAAGGTCCAGAAAACTTAAACTTGACCCAAGCCAGACATCAGAGCAAGTGCAGAGTCCAGGGCCTCCTGATTTAACAGACAGCACATATGAACTGAGAAATGATGGCAGAAACCCCTTGTGCAAAAGGGGCCCTTTTTGTGTGCTGTAGGTCTGATTTTAATGGTCAAATTAGGAAAAAAAAAAAGGTCTTCTTAAAAATTGTGCCCATGAACAAGCTTTAAGTGAAAAAGTACACACCCCTAAGCAGAGTTACTTATTTAGGGGAACAGAACCCACAAGAACCAGACAGCAGTAGACAAGGACCCCAGCAAAGGTAAGGTGTTTGAGACCCAGTGGGAGAGACCCCAAAGTTGGACCCTTCAGGCTCAAGGAGGGAGGTTCCTGGCCAAATGTGATAAGGGCCTATTGCTCAAGTTCTGTCTCCTGCATGGTGTGAAGGAGACATGGGTAAAGTTATCCCTGCAATAGCACTTTTGATAAGAAAATCACAAAATGTTTTGGAAAAAAAGGCAGGACCTGTGAAAAAATGAAAACCAAGAGCTAAATCCACACAGACTACATAGAGCTTTTCCCAAATAGTACTAACCCTCAATACCCCGTCTAAAAGCAAACACACTACACATAGGCATGTGCAACATAGTGTGATTAGAAACCACAGGAACCTGACAAGTGAAACACACTGACCCAAATCTCAAAGCGTTTGCATTCTGGGGCAGATACATTACAAAGTGGGAGCAGCAAATGAGGACGCCCGGAGCTGGCAGGGACAGACCCAGAGAGCAAAAGGAGCCGTTTAAAATCATTGATAGCTTCTTTGTAGAGGGCATATTCCCGTATTTCAAAATCGCTTTTATTTCTAAGTCAGCGGGGATATGCTCTTCCTAAAGCGCAAAGTCATCCTGTTCTATTCACCTCATTCAAGAGGTCTCTGAGTGCTGCGCCCCAGGGCACTGTGCCCATCAGGCTCTACCACAACGGCTCGTGACTGACAGTGGATGCAGGAAGTGCCTCTAACACTTGACGGGCAGCTGAGATGAGGGCACGTGCGGGGCACCTGGGGATGGTAGGGCGCCCTCACCACCCACGCCTGCCTCACATCCTGCCCAGTCTAGCCAGGGACCAAGCAGCCTGCGTGGCCAGGGCTGCCCCGGAAGCCAACATACTCAGTTTGGTTTTGAAAACATAAGTTTTCTAAGGAAGCAAAACCAGTGAATTCTTTTTTTCAAAAAGACCCCTTTCCTTGGGTCAGCGCTAGACCTGAAGTTTTCCAGCCTTTCAAAGGCTACCAGGTAGCCTGTCTTTAAATATGTAAACTCGAGTCAATTAACCAAATACATTCTGGCCTGGGTCTTGGTTCACAAAACACCTGAACTTACCAAATAAGAAGTAAGTTAGAATTATTTTTGGAGCAGTTTATTCTCAAGTCATTACAGTGTTCAACCAGTTTGACATATAAAGATAACAGACGTTTGTAAAAGCGGACGCTGAGACCCACACTTGTCCCCACCCTGCAAGGTGTGTTATGTACATTGGGACAAAACGCAGCAAATATCAAGGTGTTCAAAGTGAATCTTTGACAATTCAGATGTGACGTATTTACAAGAAAAGTATAAGTTTTAAGACAATTAAATAATTTTCATAGAATTATAAAAGTATTGAGATAAATATTAGCAGAACTGGACAATCACACTTTTTTTTTCCAAGGCTAAGACCAGGGTGTTCTATAAAAAAGCCCAAAATAGAGCTAATATTTTGCCACTGTTAAATATATCAAATTACCAATACCAAAATATACTAAAATGAACATGCAGTGTGGAAAGTGTACCAAAGGAAACAAGGAAACAGGATCAGGCTCCTGAGAGCTGCAGGCCGCCGTGCTCACGACAAAGCGACTTTCAAAAGAACCGTTTTAACAGCCACGTCAGCGGACAAGTGGTTACTACTTAAACCTTTGCATTCTATCATTTTCAAATGTAGCTGCAGAAAAGAAGGAAAAAAAAAAAAAAACTAGGTATGTTTTTAAAATATTAGCTTATAATAAAGAATTGAGTGATGCATTCTTGATGCACTTGGGATTTGACTGGTGCTGTGTGGCCCCGGCACGGTGGAGAAAGGCCTCGGGGTCTGGCCCAGCGGCAGAAGTCTCTCTTTTCAGACCAGAAGTCATCTTAGAAAATGAGGGGAAACGATGATGAATCAAAACAAATGTACTATAAAATGGCAAAATATAAAAATAGCAGCATGTGAAGTTCAAGACTATTAAAGCGAATGTTCAAGGTTGAACGACGAGAACGGTACTTGCTCGAGCTGGTCTGTGAATCGACACCTGAAACTAAGACCCTTTCGAACAGGAGCTTGTGTTCACGACGCCCCCGTGTTAGGCGTGCACTCAAATTCCTGTTTAAAAACATATATATTGCACAGGTCATAGAATACCAGCGTTCTGGTACCTAACATAAAATGGTATCTTATTTAACACATCGAACTAAGCTACTGAAAATTAATTTTATCCCAATGTTGAAAAGCAATCCTGTCGAACTTTTGAGCACATTCATCTAAAAACTTTCCTCAGCGAGATAAAAAAAGCACAGGCACTTGAATAGAGTTTAGTAGTGACAAAAAGGAGGCCACAATTGAAAATGACTAAGGGCAGGATGTCTTTACGTATAAATTTGAGGTCTTAACACTGATCCAAATATAGAGGTAAGACCCATTTACAAAATTGGATAAGAAAGTCATCACCCCAAAATTTCATACTAAATAATTTTCACTGAAGAAAGCACTGACTGCTGCAAATCCTGATTAAGCTTTTTCACACAAACGTCCAAGATATAGTTCTCTGAATCCTAACTCTCCCCTCTACTCAACTCCGGGACAGCCTGCGACCGTCACCAGCCCCGGCTCTGCAGGGCTGAGCGAGCCTCAAGGCCCGGGCCTCTGGAGCGGGCGGCGCTGCAGAACCCCTCACGCCGAGGCAGGTGTTTCACAGCACCACAGACACGGTGGGTGTAAGGATCTTAGTCTGGCAATATTTCACTCAATAACCAGTGAGAAGGTGTAAATATCGAACATCTACCAGGAAGTCAGAGTAGCATTGTAAAAATGACCAACATAATTAATACGCTTTTTTAATGTTTTAAGGTGTTAAAACATTGACACAGTCGAATTCACTATGAAAAAGCATCACACGCACATTTTTTATCACCCAAATGAGAACACACAAAACTTAAGACAATTGATACTGAGACAGGTTTTTTTTTCCCTCTTTAAAAGAAATTCTATTTAGTTTGGCCTAGATTCTTGGGTTGCCAGCTTCTAGAGTGCATCGAGAGGCAGTATAACATGCACAAGCCGCTCCGCCCTTCATCATCTTTGGCTGGAGTCTCATAGGAGACCGAGGGGCTGAGGCGGGCCGGGCTCCGCGCCTGCAGCTCACACATCACTGACCGGGAGGCTGGCATCATCCAGGTCCAGTGGGTCACAGTCTTTTTCCTGAGGGCCATTTTCACTTTGAGGTCTGAGCAGAGCTTGTTCAGTCACTTTGGAAGCTGGTTCTCTTGAAGAGACAGTCTGGACCTTGAAGTTCCCTGGCTTGACCTTGGCAAGAGATTCGTAAAATCCTCGCTTCTCCATGGCAAAGCTTGAGACCAAAGAGTTGCTGCGAGCGGCTGTGGAATGTGAGGAGGCTGCGGCCCCGGCAGGGCGGAGCGCGAGCTTGGCGTCTGAGGGGCAGATGGAATGCTCCTGTGGAGAGACCAGTGGTCAGACAGACGTGGTCAATCATTAACGGCAGGTTAGTAGCTCAGTGTGAGACTTTATTCTCTGAAAAACAAACGCAGCACAACACACACACGCACACAGAGCAGAAGCACGAGCCATGCAGTCTGAGGTGCGAGTTCCTCCCCAAAGCAAGGCATTTAAGAGCGAGTGTGAAGCAGGGACAGCCAACGCCACGTCCACTAAGAAGCCCGCTCTGTCACCCAAGCCGAACTCGACAGCTTCTGGCGCTGTGAAAACTCAGCCAGCCGCTCTGGACACGGGGCTCCAGTGTGTTTAGAGGGGAGCCTCCCAGCTTCATCGTTTATTTGAAAGTATATTCTCAGTCAACACTAGCAATTATTGCAGATATAAAAAAGATAAAAAATGAAAATGCAGAATATAAAAAAATAAAAGGCATAGTAGGTTCCAGAAGCAGAACTCAACATTTTTCGGAGCTGTGATTTTTGCCTGGCAGTCTGACCAACTCAGTTGTTGCTTCTCTGAATTTCACTGTAACCCAGGACAGTGGAGGTCATCCATTTTTTATTTCATTTCACTTATTTAGCTTTGACTATGTCCCACATTCAGATGGCTTAAGAGTCTAAAGGTAACAAGGGGCACATGTTTAATGAATCACTAAAACTGGTGCAGTAGCCCAGCGGTGAGTGCTGCTTGCAAAGCTTCTATTTGAACAAAACTGAGGAGACCTGGGACAGGGATGCCCCAGCGCAGGCCTTCTAGCTCCGGGCACGTTCCTCTACGACTCAGGGACTGGGGAAACAGGTGCTTGGGCCACCAAGACACACAGCCCCCAACTGACCCCCAAGAGTGACACTGACTGGCGGTGCTCGGCACCCTGCACCCTAGGATGCAGGGCTCACCCCACACTCGCTAACTCCCGAGTCTGCACACACGGCTAGAACGGGGTGCACGTCGGGCAGTGCCAGATTCAAAATTTACAAATACATCAAATAGAGAAACTGAAACTTATGGCAATTCAGTAAATGAATTTCTACATGATAGCTCGATGTGACTTTTTCAATGAGCACAGTTTTCTTTTTCATTATTTATCTTTTCCTTTCTTTAACACATGAATCCAACCTGATGACTGGAGTGAAACAGTTGCGTTAGTGTTGACAAAGTCCGTTACAGTAACTGTGAAAGGCAGTTTGTTAACTCGACTTTCTAGGATCGGGGTGAGTAGTGAGTAAGGCGGGCCCTCTAGTAAGAAGGCACGTGTGCGTGAGCGCCCACATACGTGCCGCAGTCCCCAGCGCTTGGTGTATACCTCTGTATACAAGGGTTCGACAGCCTTCTGGCCTGCCGCATCTGCAACACAGTGCAAAGCTAAGATTAGAGTTCACCTGAACGGGGGAGGAAGAGAATGTCTGCTGGAGTCACAGCGGAGAGTCCCACCTGCCCCCACCACAAAGCACCCAACACAAATGCCCTTCTCCAGCTTCTCCTCTTCCCAACAGACAATGTTTTTGCAGAGAGTCTCATACTTGACTGCTGAAAAGGTCACACAAAACACAGGCAATTACGAGATTGACACCTATGAAGTGACTTCCGAGATATTCCGAAAAGGATTATGAGGAGAGCGACTGAACTAAGAAATGAGGAAACCGGCCTGCAGCTGTCAGTGCCAGGGCACCGTGACGGCAGCTGCTCAGCAGGTACCTCTGGCGGGAGGTGCTAAGTGCAGAAGACCCAGCGCTGGCAGTGGCCTGGAGTCACAGGCCATCGCGCCACATACTAGTGTACAGTCTGCAGCCACAGGGCCTCATCTCGGGACGCCTGAAATTTTTTCATTCCTTAGTAAATCTGTATTTTCAGGCAGAGGCCACAGGTCAAGGTATCTGAACGTCAAATCTTATTTCTATGATTTGGAAGTGATAAGTTAAAAACACTGTTCTTATCATTTCTGAGGATGTGTGGCTATTTCGATCTTAGTATTACATCACCACAAAGACAAATACGACAGTGGTAAGGTAAGAAGCAGCCTTTTAAATTAACCTCTGAGAAAATGAGAACGACAATGTGAAATGGAACATGCTGACTGAGAGCACTAAACTGCGTTTAAGCTACTTCAGTGATCTCACAGCACTTACGAAGCCAAAACCCTCAACTAAATTAGAGGCAGAGGGAATTGAGATGTTCATCAAGCTATAGTGTTACAGCTAAAGGTACAGACGTGATTAGCCACATCCCACACTAGGAACTGTCAAGTAACACTCAACGTAGGGATACTGACAAGGGAGATTCCTGAAACAAAGCAAGGAAACGTTCATTCTTTAGCTGCCCTGCTTGTGCATTTAAGACAATACAATGCACAGAAAGTTATGTCTACGTAACACTACAAGGAAGCATTACATTAGAAATGCATTATTTTTTGGCAAGACCAATTGGTATAAAAGTCAACATGCAAATAAATCTCAACAGAGAAGGGAACCACAGGATTAGGGGGAGAGGAGGAAAGAGAACTTAACAGGATGGGGGGAACCAAGGGAGCATCACCCCAGAGAACAGGAGACATACAGAAGATGTGGATCTGCCGGGCCCCCGCTGAGCCACGATGGCGCCCGAGACGGCTTTGATCCAGCTGTGCATCTCCTCGGGGCTGTCGGCCTGCGGGCGAGAGGGCCTGGTCACTCCCAGCCTAGAACTGCCTCCTGCTTCCACAGATCTCATGCAGTGCCCACCACAAAATCACTTGTAGGCAGTGGTATCCGGAAGAGTTTAGAGATGACTTCTTTAAAACTAGGTTTTGCCGGGCCTCCCCGGTGGCGCAGCGGTTGAGCGCTGGGTTGCGAAGCTGCCTGCAGCCTCCACGGTGCCGGTTCAATCCCCGGCTGCTCCCTGGCCACCGGAGGAGGGTCCCGCATGGCGCGCAGACCTCTCCTGCCGCCCGCTGCTCCCCTCAGCAGTGTACTTCGGTCCTTCTGCCTGCTCTGCTCCCCGCTCTGGCTCTGGTGAATTCTCTCCCCCTCCCGCCCTTCTGACTGTACCCAGCATTTGTATGAATAAATAAATAAATAAATCTTTAAAAAAAAAAAAAAAAAAAAAAAACTAGGTTTTGCCAAGCAAGTTATCACAGAGAGCGTAGTTTGGCACTGAATATTTTAAGGTCAGACACATTAAAAATTGCAATTATGAGTTCTTCTAAAGAGAAAACTAAAAAAGGAAGAAGTCAAAGAACCACCTTCTCGTTCCGTCCTACCTCCTGCTACACTGAGTCTGACGGGTACTGATGTAACCGGTCATTTAAAAACCATTTTGACATCATTTACATTTATTTTTTTCTTGTTATTTCACCCTCTACTTCTAGAATCTAAAAGTTCAAAAATGTGAAGATACAAAATAGTTTCTTTGAACCAATAATATTAGCAAATACTTTTTAAAAGGAAAAGCCCAAAGCAAGCAAAGGTCAAGAGGACACTTTCCTTCACTGCAAATAGGAGCACCTTACAAAGGTTCATGCTCTGAGAGCTATTCTCCATCAGGAAACTTTAACAAGGTTCACATCTACAAACTCATCCTGAAAAAGTAAAAAATTTCGGCAAATTTATGCACAAAAATGTTCCTGACCACAGTGTCACTGTAAATGTAAAGAAGCCATGAGCATAAAAGGAGTAGTAGAGGCCTGCTGACTTGTGGAGCATTCCCACAGCAGAATACGGTGCGGTTCTGGAATGTTTTCAGGGAAATTTAGTAATGTGGGAAAAAAATCCATATATATTAAGCAAACAGATATAATATTGTACATGAACCCCCTTGTTATTAAAGCTGATGCCTTAAGAAAGGCAGTAAAAAATCAAAACGGATGTGGGAGTCTGTTTTTAAAATTACTCCTTTCTTGTTTCCATATTTTCTACAATAGGCTTATGTAATTTTTATAAAATAAAAAAACTGTTCTTTTAAAAATCTCCCAATCTAGATAATTCAATGTGACAGGAATTAGTCATTTTTAACTTAAATACAGAATGCTTGTCTACCATTTGTGAAACTGTTAAGATCTGTCTACTTTTATTATGGGTATTTGAGATCTCCTCCCTTTAAAAAATTTCCCCAAAAATTATGCAATCGAAATTCCAAAGTATGTGTAAAAATAATCAAACTTTAAAGTACACACATTATTAAGCAGCATTTTCCTTCTTCCAACTACTACTTAATTCAATTTGACTAATTCACAGCAAAAAATGCCCTTATTTGCTAAACAGATGACCAATAATCTCATACATAACATTTTTTGTTAAGTTGGTGAATTTTAGTTTCCATATTTTTTCCTTATTCTCCTAAGCAGCAAGTGCAGAGTTATTTCACCTCTAGAAATTATTAATGTCTTGTCAGGAGGATCTATAATCTCCTAAGAAGCATCTTACCTGCACATAAAAAGTTCGAGACGATGTTACAATTTCAAAAAGGTTGTCCCTCATCATTATGTCACTGTTAAGAAAAAAAAAAAAAAAAAAAAGATTTTTCCAATTGTACTTAAATGGCAATTATTTGATTTTTTAACTTAGCCAGTACCAATATCTGTCAGTAAGGAATTAAGCATTAGAGATAAAGTACTAGTTAATAAAACCAAGTTATCTTTTTCAATTTATTTTTGCATTAAATTGTTCTTATTCTATAGTTAAATATCTTTTTTTTGAAAAGGTCCATCAAACAACTTTAAAGTTCAAACTTTTCAGGTATAATCAGTTTGCTCAAAGAAATGCTGGCACAGTAACCTCAAATACTAAAATTAATAACAGATCAAGTTGCTAATTATGTTGGAACAAGATGTTCACAACAAATATTGCCCTTCCATTAATAAGTATAAGGGCTTTCCCTACATTTTAGTTTTCAAATAAAACAAAAAAAAAAAAAAAAAAGATACTTCAACCTGAGCGTTCTGAAAGTTCTAGCATATCCAAACTATAAAGAGGTAAAAACAACACAAAAAGTAATACAAGAAAAAGTCTGTAGGTACATCTATCAAATCAAGCACTACGGTGTGTCATGAAGCTGGCGAGGCTCCACACCAGGGCTGGGGCTTACCTCTGCTTACATTCCTGGACTTTATGAACCTCTTTAAGTGGTATTACACGGAGAGGTTCCTTTTCCTGCAAGAGAGCAAACAGATACATGAGGCTCTATTCTTAAGATCTCTGAAACTGGCATGTAACCTGTCTTCACATGATTTCTGGCCTCAATGACAAGGCAGCTTACTAAATGACATTAACCATGGCGTTCCCTTGATGGGCCCTATGTGCCTGGCAAGTGGATACTTCCTCTTTGGAAATGCTATTTTGACAAAGGCACAAGGGCAGTTAATAACCATTCTTTGAGCTAAATGTGTCATTTTAAGAACATTACTTTTATAGAAATCCATTATTTTAACAAGCTCAAGTTACTGAACATTTACTAAGTGCCAAGACATGGCTAGGTTTTAAATGTGTTATCCCAAACTTTTCACAACTCACTACTATTCATCTGGTGTTAAAAACCACACCAAGGGTCTCAAAACTAGGTATCAGATCCAAATAGAGGACATAACTAGTTCTATTAACATTTACATGCCATGAAACACCAAAAACTGAATTTCACTGAATATGACACCACAAAATTAAGACATACTACTATTTTATGCAGCATTAACAATTACAACATGGCTAAACACTTCTTAAAAACCACAAATATTTAAAATTTTACAACAGTTCATTTTAAAATAATCTCAGACTTTAAGACATACAAAAATAGTACAAATTTCTGTATACTCTTTGCACCCTGTTTTCTGAATGTGAAAATTGTACATCTGCTAAATTGTTGTTTGTGTAAATATATTTATATGAACGCAGTGCATTGCTTTCTTGGAATGTTTGAAGGCAAACTGTCACTATGATGCAATTTACCATCAAATGCTTTCGCTTACACCTCTGTCCCCTTTATGCCAACTGTGAAATCATACTGTTATGAAAACCTGAAATGCCACACTGATACGACACTATTACCTAATCCACAGACTAGGTTCAGATTTCATTCATTGCCCCACCAGCTTCCTTTACACCAGTGATGGGGTTCAATCTGGGACCACACCTGTTAGTAACTGTCATGTCTCCTTTATTGCAGAAAAGCTCTTGTCTTTCTCTTTCATGGCCTTAGAGTTCTAGTGTTGAGGCCACTTACTCTGGAGAATGTTCCTTACTTTGGGTTCGTTTGATGTGAGTCGTGCTTAGATTCAGGTTGAACAGCTTTGGCAGGAAACCACAGATGTGAAGCTGTGTTCTCAGCACACTATTCTCAGAGGCACATGACAGTGGTTTCTCCCACTGCTGGTGTGTTAACCCTGACCTGTAACTGTTTGCCAGTAGCTGTAAAGTTACTTTCTCCCCTTGGCCATTATCATCTTGTGGGGACAAAGTCAGCCCCTATGCAGCTTCCCCTCATAATCTGCCCACTCGTTTTATGAAACATTGAGAATTTTTGCCTGAAAGGATCATCTCCATAGTGGTTGCCAAATGGCAATTTTTCTAGTCCCATCAATTCATCTACACACAGAAGCTGGAATTTTACTATAAGGTAATGTTTTTCCTTCTCCACTTATTTACTCAGGACTTGCTTTATGCTGTGGGCTGTAATTCATTATCGTCACTACTTGGCATTCAAACTGTCTGAATGTTGGGCACGGCGAGCCTTTCAGCTGCTTTCTAAGGTCCTTCAGTCGATGGCCTCCCCTCATCCTCTGTGCCACTTTCTGTTTTCTGTCACAACTGGATGTTCTGGGTTCCGCGTGTCCTCTGTCTGTCCCAGCTCTGAAATCAGGCACTTCTCCAGGGGTCTCTGGCTCCCTTTGTTAGCGAATGGCATTTACAGTTGTTTGGGGGGAAAGGACTTGCCCACTCTTCCCTCTGCTACAGCTTTCTCATGACAGGTGAGTGATAGATCTGTGAACTTCACCTTCTCAAATTATGTGGCATTGTGTCTTTTTATTTAAGGACCACTTTAATTTCCTTGTGAATTTACACGAATACCTTTTGCTCACTTTTCTACCCGATATTCCCACCTCGATATTTCTATGTCGAAATTTTGAAGCTATCAAACAAAGGTTGAAAACACAGCATCAAGAACTGTTTTTCCTGGGCCTCCCTGGTGGCGCAGGGGTTAAGACGCAACCTATGAAGCAATCCGCAGCCACTGTAGCACGAGTTTGATTTCTGGCTGGCCAGGGAGATACCCACATGGCGGGACAGACCTCTCCTGTCTCGCCCGCTGCTCCCCTCAGCAGTGTACTTCAGTCCATCTACCTGTTCTGTTCCCCACTCTGTCTATGGTGAGTCCTCTCACCCCGCGCATCTCTGGCCTATACCCCAATTCTTAAAAAAGAACTGGTTTTCCTAACCCACTTTAAGAGTGAGTTGCTAACCTGGATATCTCGGTACCTCTCCCACAAAGACCTCCTCTTAGCACAATAAAACCACCATAAACAACATTGCACCCAACACCTGTTATTAAAACAAAAACGTCAGTTCAGAATCCCAAGGTGCATTGTGCCACACCTCCTGTCTTCCTGCAGCCAGCTCCCCGATTTCCGTCATCCCACTCTAGCAGTGATCACAGGGCAGCTACTTTGCAGAATGTCCGTAGTTCAGGTGCGCTCGTCCTCATGACGGGATTCAGGTCATGCACGCTGGGCAGAGAGGTCTTGGAAGCCAAGCGGCACTGCTCTTCTTCCATCTTATCAGGTGGCAAATGACCAGAATTCATCTCCTTACTGATGAAGCCCAAATACTCTTTCTACCTTGTGCTTAATTTGTTACCATCATTACTTATTTCGATGCTCAAATTGTCTCAATTTTGGTGAGGAGGAACATTTTCAAGTTGGATTCTGGGTCTTTCTGCTATGTCCCTATTGTTCTGTGAGAACTTTCTTGCTCTTAGACACGAGACATTCCATGCTCCTAATGTTTCTCCTGTTCGGGTCTGAAATCTTGCCATTTTCCCATGAAGTTTAGGTTTCTTTCAGTGAGAATTGGTAGTGTATTAGTGCATGGAGGTGGGGAGTGTATTACACACATATAGATAGGTGTAAACGCATGACTGCATTCACATCTATTTCTTCATCGATCTGTACTTTTTTTTTTAAGATTTATTTATAAATACAATTTATTTATACATACAATGTATTTACACATACAAGAACTGGGGTACAGGCCCAAAATGTGTGTGGGGAGTGAGAGGATTCATGAGAGACAGAGTGGGGAGCAGAACAGGCGGACTGACTAAAATACACTGCTGAGGGGAGCAGCGGGTGAGTCAGGAGAAGTCTGCTGTGCCATGTGGGTTGCTCCCTGGCCGGGGATCAAACTCGGTGCCGCACAGGCTGCGGACAGCTTCAAAGGTTGCATCTTAACCCCTTGTGCTACCAGGGAGGCCCTATCATTACTTATTAAAGGTTCAAATCAACATCCAATTCCAACCTGACACAAAAATCTTCTCTTTTGCCTTATGTATTACTCCCTTCTGTGACAGTGAGGACCCTGACTAGCACTACCCTTCATATTTATTATTTCATCCATCAAGTATGCATGCAGTCCTCCGGCCCTTCCGTGCCCCTCTCCCAGCGCGGCATGCTTCTCTCCCACCCGTGCTGGGCTGGCCCCCAGGAGCACCTCCTCGCTCCGCTTAGGCTCCGAGCATCACACCGGGCTCTGCTTGCTCCCGCCCCTGCCGCTGCCCCTCCACCGACTACACTGACTTGCCTCACCTACAACATTTAGGATTGACTTGTTTGGGATTAGTAAGAGGAAAAGGGGACAAAAGGATGAAGGAACCAATTTTTAAACTCAGAAACCTTTATCCTTAGGAGAGATACACTCAATTATTTACAGAGGAAATGATGTCTGGGATCTGCTTCACAGGTGAAGGGGCATGTGGTGGGTAGTGACACAGAAAAAAAGCCAGCCATGAGCTGATAAGGGTGAAATCTGGGCAATGGCTCGCCACAGACCCAGAATACTGTACTATCTAGTTATTTAGTGTTTAAATTTCTCCATGCTCAAAAGGTTTTGTAAAAGAACCCTTTCATAACTTGAACATCAATTTTTTACCACGCATCATTCCAAGCACAAGTAAAAATACATAAACCAAATAAATTGGTTAAGATTTTTTTTTTTAAACTTCACATATAGATTCCAATTCTTCTGAATCACTTTAAGGTTGTTTTTTTTTTTTTTAAGATTTATTTATTTATGCATACAAGAGCTGGGGTACAGGCCAAAGATGCGGGAAGGGGGGGGTGTGTGAGAGGATTCACCAGAAACAGAGCAGGGAACAGAACAGGCAGACTGACTGAAATATACTGCTGAGGGGAGCAGCGGGGAGACAGGAGAGGTCAGCCTTGCCATGTGGATTGCTCCCTGGCCAGCCGGGGATCAAACTCGTGCTGCAGAGGCTGCGGATTGCTTCATAGTGCGGTGCTTAACCCCTAGCCCACCAGGGAGGCCCTGAATCACTTTCTAAGTTGGAGCCATCAATGTCAACATTTTTCCACTCCAGACCACTCTGTGCCAGAGAGCACCTTGGTGATGCAGCCTTTCTTAAGGACACACTACGTCCCTAAGATCTCCTTCCAAGCTGCCTGCAGCCTTTCTGCAGGTCTTGAAACTGGTGTTTACGCACCTCACCCAAGGCACTTGCACACGCGGGAAGTGGTCCCTAAGCACAGCTGCTGCCCAGTGCCCCCCGCCGCCACAGCAAGGCACTCTTGGGGGGTAGGTAGGTAGATGTACACCTTCATGGTGAATTACTGCATTATAATTACTGTGGGTGAGTTATTCTTGTCAATTTCGCTGGCAAAACAGAACTCCTGAAGGTCAGAGCATCACACCTGCTCTCTTATTCTCAATTCCCAAAACAGCGCACTAGGGGCCATGGGACGCTCATGGGTGTCTGGCACAAGCATGGCCATTCCCAGAAGTACTGGCAGTAATTAGAAGCAACGATTCAACCTGCTTGCCAACCAAGCACAAGTACAGCCTTCAGAGACCCACGGCTGAACCATGTAACTACTACTTTCAATTAAACTTCTTAGAATTTGAAATCTGAGAAAGGTCCCAGGCTGAAGCAGCTAGTCTTGCCATGCCATGCCACTTTTCATATGTTCAAAATCATGTACTGATTACCTACCAGGGCCAGACACTGTGTTTGAGAGAATCTTTGTTCCCAAGGAGCTCACGTAATTCACTGCTAGAGACAAGTGTGCACGTGGCTCCAAAGCACGTGGGAGCACGGACAGCCACATTTCCAGTGCTAAGAGCCTCATGTAGCACGCAGACTGGCCCAGGCAGAGAGAGCTTTCCCTCAGTGCAGTCAGCCCTACATGACAGTGCTTCGTGCGTGCCTTCATTCAGATAAAGTATACAGTCTCGTCCTTCCCGCCCAAAGGTCTCCATAAAACAAGAAGGTGCAGTACAAACACATCTAGCGCTGCATTCAATTTATCGTGCAACCTACTACAGAACTCAGGTCATGTGACAGTGAAAAAAGGAAATATTCAATCTTTGATGCTACCTCCAGATAAGACAGAAACTTATCAAGACAAAAGTCAATCTGAAATAGGATAAGACAATGTCAAGGCAGGGCAGAGAAGAGAAGGTAGAAATACAGAGGGTTAAATATGCTGACTTTAGAGACTCCATTCTTCACTCCTCTTCCTCTTAGAGGAAATTTGTAGACTGAGAAGTTCTGATATTTTTAATTCGCTCAAGGTAGAATGCCTTTGAAGATAGGATCTTTTTATTTAAGATGCAGTACATGAAAATACCATTCATCAAAAGCATCACAACAAAATAAACTATTTCATGTACCACTCAAAACCAGACATGAATTATTTTAAAAGTAGAGAACAGGACACAGAGACAATCACAATGGAACAGTTCTCAAACATTTCTAAGTGACACTTATGACACAGTAACATACCAGTTCAGATTTGAAGTAGCCTATTGTGTTTTCATCCAATTGAAAATATCTTCTCTTCCAGTTTTTCATCTAGCAGAGATGAACACAGACATAAGACTTCTGTTTCTAAGAAGGTCAAAAGTTAATAACCACTTGATTATTCTGATAGGAACCCGCAGTCAGAAATGTCAAGCACCAAGAAACCTTCTACCCCCCAGCGTGAGGAGTAAACGGAACTTCACCCCTCTCATTGCTCAGGCGGTGAACGCCTAATTCACTTAGGCATTCGGCTCTTAGCTTTTACTAACGACTTATAATATGCTTGCATATTTTTGATGCTCTAAAAGTTACCAAAAACAGAGAGCACTTCCCCATCCTGCCCACCCCCTAGCCACACAAAGTAAATGCCATTCAATGTTCAAGAGCAAGCCCGGGAACTGTTACTAAACAGCATCGTTTCATCAGTAAAATGCGACAGTATTTAATAAACAATATTTAATAAAGTGAATATTTAATAAATATTTAATATTTAATAAAGTGTCCTACTTCATACAAATATTTTTTGTCAATGAAAGGTAGGTTGTTTTTTTGTTTTTTTGTTTTAAGATTTATCTATTTACACAAGAGCTGGGGTACAGGCCAGAGGCGCGGGAGGGTGAGAAGGAGTCACCAGAGACAGAGTGGGGAGCAGAACAGGCGGATCTACTGAAACACACTGCTGAGGGGAGCAGCGGGCAAGACAGGAGAGGTCTGCCACATCATGCGGGTTGCTCCCTGGCCAGCCAGGAATTGAACCTGCACTGCAGAGGGTATGGACAGCTTCACAGTGCTGTGCTCAACCCACTACGCCACCAGGGTAGCCCCCAATGAAAGGCAGTTTTGTGAAAGCCTGGATCTAAGAGTGAGGCAGAAAGGAAGGTCTCCTTAAGGCGGCCTGAGAATTCTGGCTTTACCAGCAGACATGCTAGTCAGAACCCTCACCTCATTTCCCTCAGCCTAGAGTTGTCAAATAATTAGTGGTGAAAGGTCTTTCCCTGAGCTGACCTAAGCCAATAAGAATTGTTAGAAAGTGCTGTGAAGTCAAACACAACTGCCGGCAGAGTTTTAAGTACGTCTTTGCTCACTGAAAATGTTTTTAACATTTATTTTTCTCATGAAGTTCTAAAGATTTAATTCACATGATTAAATTTTTAGAAAGGGGCTTTGGAACTTTGGAAACATTGGTCAATGTACCTGCTCTTCCCACAGTCACCCTCATTGCTCTGGTTGTGTGGGGCTGCCCAGGGTAACCCACAACAGCTCTAAGAAGGACGAGGCGCTTTCTGCTTTACACCTTTTAGGAAAACCCTACATCAGAACATGGTCTTCTTCAAAATGAAGCTGAGAGCTGGGGAGGTTAAGTAGGCCGAGGTCCTGAACTTCGAGTCAGGCCACCAAATCAAGAGTGACCGTTCTGCACCCCACTCCCTGCTGCCCAGTGGAGCTCTCTTTCCCTGACTCACTCCCAGGAGGGAAAACTCAACAGAAAAACTTTCTAGAATACATTTAAATAGTTAGGAGAAATCATTTAAAATGGAATGCCAGCGGTAACAAGCATTAAACTTACACAACCACCCACAGGCCAAAAAAATATAGCAATGAGTTAAGAACACAGACTCGCCCCCATTATAGCTCCAACGCCCAACGCCCCCATGCTAGGCTCACAGTTTGGGTCTCTCCCCAGACACAATCAGCAATTCATATCTGGGGCGGGTGTTATTATTTACTTTTTATTACATCACATCCCCTGTGAAGCTACTCACCACGGCTCCCTGCTTTACACAGTACCCAGCCTTGATGACAGCGCTATCCGAGGGTGGCTTAGGAGCAAAGTACGGGAGGTGGCTCTGGGACCGTTTCAAATGGTTTCTGTCAACGCTTTCACCACATTCATTGACTTCTTCTTTCTAAAATGAAGCAAAATAAAGAATTTTTTCTTGCTTGTTTAATTTCAAAGCACTTACATTTCATGTTGCCATCCTAGTAATAAATCTCAATCTATCTTGTTCAGGGAGGAGATTTTGAAGTGTCAAATTAATTTGAAATACTTATTCATATATTTCATGTCACTGATTAAACCACAGATTTCTATTTCTCTAGTTCTGTAAAAGTCACCAATGCTTTCTAAACTGCGGGGGAGAGGGAGGGAGACTTTTTATTCTGAAATTATTATTCAGATTCCCAGGAAGGTGATCTAAAAGAGAAATGTACATACTCAACAGTGACACTGGAACATTCCCCAAACCTTACTTGATCTCACTGGTTCTGTGCACCCTCCTACTACTTCATCCCACACAGATTTTTGTCACAATGACCACCACACTGTGTTCGCCACCACAAGGCTCCCTTGCGAAACCCCCTTAATGGAAGTATTCCCCATCCCTGGGGACCATGAGTTTGCTCTCCACTCCATTATTATGACGTGCAGAGAAAATGGCGGAAAGGGTCAGTACAGGAGGCAGCTCTCAAGACTAGACTGGCTTGTCATTCAGCATGATTCTCTGGAGCGTCACCAGGGTGGGTCTCACTGCATCAATGGTGCAGCCCCTCTTTGTGCCAAATAGTGTTCATGTTTGCGGATGAGGCTCTCCCCACCCCACCCCATGAAAGGGCACCTGAGTTGTTTATGGTTTTCAGTTATCAAGAACAAAGCTGGGCCTCCCTGGTGGTGCAAGGGGTTAAGCCCAGCATTATGAAGCTATCCCCAGCCTCTGTAGAACGAGTTTGATCCCCGGCCAGGGAGCTACCCACATGGTGCAGCAGACCTCTCCTGACTCCCCGCTACTCCCCTCAGCAGTGTGTTTCGATCCATCTCCCTGTTCTGTTCCCCACTGTCTCTGGTGAATCCTCTCACAGCACCCCCGCCCCCACCACCTCTGGCCTATATCCCAGTTCTTGTATGCATAAACAAATCTTAAAAAAAGTGAAGCCAAATGGTCTCAAAATTGATTTACATATTACTTATTTAAAAAAAAAGAACAAAGCTTCTATAAACGTTCACATACAGGTTTTGTGAAGGTAAATCTCTACCTCTCTAGGATAAATGCTAAGGAGCACATGTTTATGCTCTGGGTCACAGAGTAATGGCAGGTTTACTTTCAGCACAAAAAAACTGCCCACTTGTTTATTTTTTTAAAAAAATTTATTTATTTATGCATACAACTGGGGTGGAAGCCAGAGGTGTAGGGGTGTGAGAAGATTCACCAGAGAGAGTGGGGAACAGAACAGAAAGATCTACTGAAATACACTGCTGAGGGGAGCAGTGGGGGAGACAGGAGAGGTCTGCTGTGCCATATGGGTAGCTCCCTGGCTGGGGAGCGAACTCAGGCCATAGTGAGATATGGGGGCGAAGACTCAACCCTGAGGCCACCAGGGAGGCCTGCCCACCTAATTTTCAGAATGGCTGTACCGTTGTTTCTCCTCCTCCTGTCAGCGTGTGTGCAAGCAGCAATTTCTGAGTCATTCTGGCAGGTGTGCAGGAGACTCTCCCTGTTGTCCTGATTTGCGTACCCCGACTGGCCAACATCCCTTTAGTGCTTCTTGTCAGCTTCTATCTTTTATCTTTTGGTAAAATCTCTGTTCATGAGTGTGACCATTTTCTAAGTGGATTGCCTGTTTTACTTACCATACAGTTTTGATAATTCTTTATATACTACAAATGCTTTACTTAAAAATTTACAAACAGAAAATGCAGTCTGCAAATAAATTCTTACTGTGTGGAGCTTATCATCCTCCTAAACAGGCTTTCACAGAGCAAACACTTGTTATTTTAATAAAACCCAACTTATCTGGGCCTCCCCGGTGGTGCAGCGGTTGAGCACTGGGTTGCGAAGCTGCCCGCCGCCTCTGCGGCGCCGGTTCGATCCCCGGCTGCTCCCCGGCCACCAAAGGAGGGTCCCACATGGCGCGCAGACCTCTCCTGCCGCCCGCTGCTCCCCTCAGCAGTGTACTTCGCTCCTTCTGCCTGCTCTGCTCCCCGCTCTGGCTCTGGTGAATTCTCTCACCCTCCCGCGCTTCTGACTGTACCCAGTGCTTGTATAAATAAATAAATCTTTTTTTTTTAATAAATAAATAAATAAATAAAGCCCAACTTATCAATTTTTTCCTTTTATGTACCATGCTTTTGATGCAAAGTCCTAAAAATCTTTGTCTGAAGATCTCTCTTTTGCTCTTTCCTATAGTTTTTGTAGTTTTATTTTTATCTATAGGTAAGCCCAGTATTTTTAAAAACTAGCTATACTCAAGGTTTTGTGCTCCCTCAAAGCACAGCTTTCTGTTTAAATACAACATACAACAGATGAGTTCATCTAGAATCCTACATGTGTCAACCAAAGGTTTACTTTCAAGAACTCCTAAATTTCAAGAGAAACACTAAGTATTCAAAGTATCTCCTGAGGAATTTTCAAAAACAAGTAAGGTCTGTGGAAAATTCTAATGTCAATTTTGATAATTTACTATCATTTCACATTCTACATTTAGAGAAGTCAACAGCACTAATAATGTACTAAATTTTGCAATCCCAGCAATTAACTCACTTCTAACCCAACAGTTACTGAATAAATTAGTTATGTAAATGAGACTTTGATATTTCTCGGTAATCTGTGATCTAGATCCTTTTATGATACATAAATACCTTAAAATAAAAAAAATGCAAAATGACAAAGTAGTAACAATCTTTGGAATCTTTTCAATGTGGCACCTGCCACAGACCACAGAACTTAGTGAATTGTCTATACCAAAATGAAGAGACAACTAAACCTTGATTCTATTCAAAATTAAAAGCCATAGATTACAATACTTTACTACCATCATACAACTACAGACACAAGACGTACCACAGATATAAGTAGGTTAGTCCAGCTACAGATTTACTGTAAGCTTTATAGGTTAAAAGCATTGCTTCTGGAAAAGTAAACATGCATACATGCGCATACGCATGCACATAAACACGCATGCACATAAACACGCATGCACATAAACACGCATGCACATAAACACGCATGCACACACAAAATCCTAGCTTACTTTCTATCCAACTTTGGGTAAAATGTAAGCTCTCGTTAGAACAGGAATTTTTTTTCATTAATATATGCTTTATCTAGCATAAAGAAAACACTCATTAATTCACTAACTAATTAATGTGGTAAGAATCCTATTTCTACTAATCACTCTCCCTTCATGAAAGACCTGAAAGATACGGTCCAGAAAATAACTTGAGTTTAGAAAGGTTTATGACGTGCCAAAGCAAGTCTGAAAAGGCTCACAAGCAATAAACACACTCAACACTAGCAATACCGACTACCTACCATATCCTTCTTGGTTTTTCAACCTGCTGGTAATTTAATTTGCATCACAAACCCATTCAACAGCAGCACAAGAAATTTAAGTTCATACAAAAGTTTTTATTTCACCAGTTTTTATAAAGTTGTGTTTTTCATTGTCTCCAGGTAAGACCTGACTTGGAATGTGAGTGGTGCTGGGAGAGAACTGAGTCAAACCCCAGTTTAGCTCGTGTAGGCCAGGCTGTAGGACAAGAAGTCTCAAAGACTAGACAGATCTGTAAAAAAAATTATGTATATTTATAAACTCTGACTCAGCAATTTTATTTCTAGGATTTTATCCTTTAAAATATACTATCTATGGGGCCTCCCCTGGTGGTGCAGCGGTTAGGGGCTGGGCTGCGAAGCTGCCCGCAGCCTCCGCAGCGCTGGTTCAATCCCCGGCCGCCGGCGAGGGTCCCACATGGCACAGCCGACCTGCCGCGCCCCCTGCTCCCCTCAGCAGTGTATTTTGTCAGTCTGCCTGATCTGTTCCCCGCTCTGGATAATTCTCTCACCCTCCCTTGCTTCTGACTGTACCCAGTGCTTGTTTAAATAAATCTTTAAAAAAAAAAAATACTATCTATGTGTCTAAACACGGTTCACATGCTTGGCGCAGAGCTCCTCAGGACCCTTCCTAAGTGGTGAGCACACTGGCAGTGCCTCTTGTCATGAGGGGGCTCCACTGGTCACCAGTGACAAGTCCTGATGAGAAATTTGGATGGCTCAGACCCACCCTCCTTCTCCAGACCGTGGAAAGACTGGAATCAGAAGTAAGGATCAATTGTGCCTACGTGATGAAGTCTCCATAATATCCCTAATCGTTCAGAGAACTTCGGGGGGGGGGGACCATGTTCAGGTGATGGGGGAGTGCCCAGAGCAATATGAGACACCAACCCACTTGCCCCCACCTTGCCCTACACATCGCTTCTAACTGGGTGCGCTCTTGTATCCTTTATTTAATCCTTTCATAACTGACTGATAAACAGTAAGTCAACTATTTTCCTGAGTTCTGTGATCTGTTCTAACAAATTAACCAGCTCCAAGGAGGAAGTCATGGGAGCCTCAGATTATAGCCCATTGGTCAGAAGCACAGGTGACAATTTGAACTTGTGTGTGGCAAGTGAAGTGGGGGCAGAAAGATGGGGGGCCTTGTGGGACTGAGCCCTTAATCTGTGGGCTCGAGGCAGAGCCAGAATTGAATTAAATTGTAGGACCCCCAGTTGATGCTGCAGAACTGTTGGGTACGGGGCAAACCCGCCGTGCTATACCATAGCAGCCTGAGAATCAAGGGGAAGGACGCAGGAGAAAGCCTAGGATTTTCCTACTCACAGAGTATTATTAAATAAAGACAAAATGAGAAAAGAACCTGTCCTGCAACGTAGCACTTGGTATGGCAAATTCACAGTAAAGCTACTACAGTGTCATTAAAAATGATCTAGAATAATTTTTGATGACCTGGAAAATACTGAGCTATAGGTGAAAAAAAGTTCTTTACCAAGTATCTCCACTTCTAGGGGCAAGAAAGGCTCGGAGAAGCCGTGAGAAGTGGTAAGCGTTGTTAATCTGTGACTTTCAAATATTTTTATAATAAACTCATACTTTTTAAAGAAATTATTTTATATATTAGTTTTATGGTTTTACTTACATATCCAGTATATATAATCACCACGCATTACACATCTGAGCTTGCACACGTATGTTAATGGAGCGCCGTGTTAAGGCAGTGACCACAGGAAGCGGCCCTGGGCCATTCTCCCTCACCTGTGTGGGGGTGATGATGGGCACGCCCCCGACAATGTCGGTCCTGTACGACACCTGCATCTTCCCACTTTCACCGGGCCGACTTAGGTTTTCAGAATGAGGCTGGGAGTCTGACTGCTTTGGTACCTAAAAGAGTAAGTTGAATGAATCAGTCTGTATACCCAGCACGACATGTGCGGCGCTCTTTCATCTCAGAACTGGCAGCTGATTGTGCACGGATATAAATGACTTACGTAGAAATCACTTACAATATATGTATCCCTTTACCTCCTTATACCAATTTTCCTGTTACACCAACGCTTTACAATAGTACTTGTGCTGACCCAGGGGAGAACTATTTCACACACCTTCTCGCTTGAGCCTCCTATTAGCCTGTTAGTACAGGGTGGTTCTCTCCACCACAGTGATGAGAAAACAGGCTTAGAGGCAGGAGGAAGCATACACTTAGGTAGGAGCGGCACTGAGCTCTGGCCGAGACTGTGCAGCTCTTCTTCTTCCACACTCAACTGGACACACATTCCCGGCCTTGTGTGGAGGTCTGTGCTGCACCTTCCCTTTCCTCCAAGCCCACCCATGACTCTGCAGGGTCCCCGAGGACAGGGCTGTGGCAATCCCAAGCATACTGACTTCCACAGACAGTCTACTATTGAAAACATTAAATAGCCAATAAATGCTGAGAGATTCAATGGGTAAACCTGAAGTCAGCAGGAAAAAACAACATACTTAGCATTAATTTAAAGTTGAAATGTTCACAATAACTTAAATCATAGAAGGAATTTTAGAAAATAATTCCAATGCTTCTGTCAATGACAAATCACAGGTGTACCAACCAATGCCTGCAGCAGTAGCAAAGTTTCACATGTCAATACCCCAATAAAACAGAATCAAACACATCTCTCTCTCTCTCTCTCTCTCTCTCTCTCTCTCTCTCTCTCTCTCTCTCTCTCTCTCACACACACACACACACACACACACACACACGATACTATTTTAGTTTTCCTTCTGTTGTTGAATCAGGGAACAAGGTACCTGGCTTATCAGTATTTCTGTCTATAAAATGCTTCATGTAGTCTGTATTGAATTATAAATTTATAAGGCTTTGAAAATAAAGTAATAAAATATGCTCTATACCAGTTTTAATACTGACCATGATTTAGTTTCTCCAAAGATTTAAAGGGTATTTGAGGACTTCGCAGTCTTTCAGAAACATAACAAATACTGAAGAATAGTGGTGTAAAAACATTTAAACTTAAATCACTTGCCTGCCATGCAGTTAAACCCTGTCAACAGGTCCGGCTCTGCTTACTGGGGACACCATTCACATCACAGACCCAAACCACTGGCTAACGTGACTCCTAAGCAGTGTGGTTTCTCACACTTTGGCGTATGTGAAGTATCACCCAGGAACCTTATTAAAAATGTCAGACCCTGAGGCCCCATATCCAGAATCCGGTGGCAGCAAATCTACAGTGCAGTCCACACAACTGTACTTCAAGCAGAACACCAAATGTCAATGAGGTAGGTGTTCCAAAAAGCACACTTGGGCAAACATTACTCCAGGACCCTGCCCTTGTGTAGGTGGGTGGCTACTCCCACCAGCTGTGTGAAAGAGCAGGTAGACAATCGTGTTTGCAGACGAGGCTTTACAAAGACGGGTCTTGTAAAGTATTGGGCAAACACGGTCCATTTGTGCATGAGAAGCGCCGAGGCGTAGTAGATCCCAACTCACATAAATATAATTTTCAGATATAAATAGCTGGTGTCTGGGGACTTCTGAACGGCCTCCCTCTCTTCTCCTTCCCTCCCGCTTACTGCGAGAGAGAGGCTTCCTTTAAGGCTTTCTCCCCAGGCCTCAGCCCACCCTCCACCCTCACATCCACATTTACAGCGCAGTGCCAGTCACAGGCAGAAACAGGGGGGCGAGGGGTGGACAGGGAAAGGATGGAAGAGAAGGGGAATGAGACAGACGGCCAGCAGGAGGCCAGTGACTAAATGGGCAGCTACTCGGCTTAGGATCAGAGACAGAGACTGACTCCAGGACCCATCGGAAAGTCTGTCCTAAGAGGTTAGGTGTCTGCAGTGTTTTAAATGCAATACGAAAACGGATTTAGTTGGGGATTTAGTCATTCAGTCAATTTCCATGTCTATGGAAATTTCCAACGAAACCCCTCTTCATCGCACCTTAAAATATACAAAATTTATACTGGTTTTTCCATTTTTCTTTCTCTTTTTAAAGATTTATTTATTTATTTATACAAGCACTGGGTACAGTCAGAAGCGCGGGAGGGTAAGAGAATTCACCAGAGCCAGAGCGGGGAACAGAACAGGCAGAGTGATGAAATACACTGCTGAGGGGAGCAGTGGGCGCAGCAGGAGAGGCCTTGGCACCATGTGGGACCCTTGCCGGTGGCCGGGATTGAACTGGCGCTGCAGAGGCTGCGGGCAACTTCGCAGCCCAGCACTCAACTGCTGCACCACCAGGGGAGGCCCTGGTTTTTCCATTTTTCTTCCAGTAAATGACATTAAAAAAATTGTTTCCCTATTCCGGGGCCTCCCTGGTGGCGCAAGGGGTTAAGAAGCAATCTATGAAGCTATCCACAGCCACTGCAGCACAAGTTTGATCCCCAGCCAGGGAGCTACCCACACGGTGCAGCAGACCTCTCCTGTCTCGCCTGCTGCTCCCCTCAGCAGTGTATTTTAGTCCATCTGCCTGTTCTAGTCCCCACTCTATCTCTGGTGAGCCTCTCACCCCGACACTTCTGGCCTGTACTCCAGTTCTTGTATGCATAAATAAATAAATCTTTAAAAAACAACCAACCAAAAAATTGTTTGCCTATTCTGTTACAGCCACTAGTTCTAATTCCTCCTTACAATAAAACGCTGAATACAGATTCGTTCCAGAGTTCAAGAATCAAACAAGAAAGGCGTTTTTACAAAAAACTATGTGAACTGTAGTAATCCTAAGAAAAAGCAAAATACCCACAGATATAGGTAACTCCCTTCAAAATTCTAAAGGAAAGTCTGGACTGGTACAATCATTAAGTAAATATATTTTAGGACAAAAAAAAGACACCATCTGACATCTGTTTAAGAGAATCAGAAAAGGAACCTCATCGCACAGAGCAAGAGTTAAGGACAAACACATGTGGTCGCTGCCTGCGACCTGTCTTCCTTTTCTCTTGCTTTCTGTCCTTTTTCATTGTGACTTTTTTTGTGAGAGATCTGAATGTATTTCTAGTAGGCATTTACATAGGATCCTAATAGGAGGAAATTGTAATATAGGAATAGAAAAGGTAAGCTTGACTGAAGAATGAAGAGATGAAGGAAATGGAGAATAAGGGCAGGGCTTGAAGACTGAAGCCAAAATGCTCGAACACAGACTCCTGAGCACCTGGCCCTCCTGAGGGGCCCACACAGCCCACAGAGCCAGGAGTGAGAGCAGTGAAGGAGGAGTCTTGCACCTCTGCACACAGACCCCCCTGTCAGGCCCAGAGTCCAGCACTCAGCTTGCTGTGTGCTCCTTGCTGCCGATTTAAAGGGGGAAAAGGGGGTGGAATTTTTGCTACACTTTCAAAACATGGATTTTTAAATTAAAATCCAGTATTAATTTTTAAATTAAAACCTACGGTGAGAAAACATACTTTTAAAAGCTAGCAGGTTTCTGTTCAAGAATGCACCTTATGTCTTGGCCAATCCTTAAGACTCAGTAAGGGATGAGAGGCCACCATGTTTACATTATTCAGATAAATGAATAGCTGGTGGAAAGCAGACTTTCAAAAGTGATTTTTGAACTCGAGTCATTAACACTCTCTTCAGGACTGACTCCTCTCCTATGGCTCTTTCTTTTTATTCAAAGAAGGGGGAAAACACTTCAAATGGCAGCTACCAACAAATATTCAGACTTCAAGGAAATATGTAAAGCACCAGACTATGGTATTGGGAGTCTGTTAAGATGCAAGGCACTATAATTAGGAAGTAGTTAAATAATCACCATCCCTTCCACTACCTCTAACCACCCCCATTCTGAAACCACGTATTTCTAAAACCTAATTTTGGATTTCTAAAAATTTTAAGTTGATACATCACATTGCACTCAGCAGACCACTAAATTACATAGTTGGCCAAAATGTCATTTGGAGGTGAATCCACAGAAAACTAAACTGTGCATATATTAAAAGGTAAACTTTAATTTTCCAAAGAAATCCACATATATCAACAGCAATTTTCATAGGAAGTATGGCAAATTAGAGATTCCACACACTAATACATTTAAATGTGTAAAATGCATATGAAACTTAAGCTGGCAAGACTGTTTTAAAGGGCAAATTAAATGTATCTTATTAAAACATGGAGAGTTTTTATTGCTATCCTATGAGTTAAATGTGTATCTATATAAAGATGATTTTTACTAGTGCTAGCAATTCTATATTCATCTTAATATAATAATAATAATCGCTTGGTTGACAAGGATTCTTATATCCTACATGTATTTATATTTTCAAAATGTGAATTATAAAAATCTAAATATCATTTATGAACAGATTTATCTTAAAATGTATAAAATTTTCAACATGTGAAATAAAGCTGCAAGACCACAAAAGCTATTTTTAAAACATTACCCAAACCCTAATTAGTTTCTCTTGCATTCAAATAAGCTTAACAATGTCATTTATATTGTCTCCTGCTATTAATAAACTGGATACAGCAATTCAAGCACCCCAAAATGGATAAAGCCTAATAATACTCGCTGCTTTTTCTCATAAAGCACTAAGAAACCAATACTGCTTATTCTTGCAAATTGTAAAATATGAATTAATTCACCAGTTACCAGTCATCATTTTTCTAAGAAAATTTTTCCAAATAGGGAAAATTTATTTATTAAAAGAGTTAAAAACAGCTAAATATTTCTTTCAGTAATATACACTTCTGAACTGCCTCAAGAATTTGCTTTCCTGAAACTGCACAAACCTAAAATAACTTCTGCTTCATGTACAGATCAGATGCAATGCGTGGGTGTTTGCTGTCATGTGGTAACAAGCTGTGCTGGTACAAGCCAAAAAATTCGACTTCACTCTGAGAACAGCTCTAGTGACATTAACTCTTTATTGTGTTGTGACATAAATATGAAATCATTCATCTCAGATGGTGACTAACAAGTGGCTAACATATGCTGACTTTCAGGACATATGTTTTCTGAGAATAAATTGTTTAGGGTTAGAGTAAATAACTGTACTTTAGCAAAAATACACTTCCAATTTACACAAACCTCACACAAAATTCTTTCTTGTCCCTTTCCAAGGCCTACTATGTGTTTCTCCAAAAGTGAATAAGGAGGGAAAAAAAGAGATCTAATTAAGGAATAGGACAATCCACTTGCTTGTCATCATCAAAAATAAATTCTCAGAAAAGCTTGTCTTTTTGCTTCAGCAATAGAAGAGTAAGGACAGGACTCCTCCTGGCAGCAGGAAGGCCCTGTGCTTTGATCAGGACCCAGAACCACTTACTAGTCAAACTGGCACAAGTCCCTCACTCCTGCTAGTTTGTCCCTCAACCCTAATCTGTACTTCTCCAGATAACGCGGGCAAAACCTGCCTCTGGTGTGGTGAAGTGATCATTAAGTGTAATGTTCACTAGAAATCCAAACGAGAGGAGAAGCCCAGGGAGGAAGCCAGCAGCTGTAGCAGGGAGGTGTGCAAGGGCCAAGCCCTGACACTCGAGGGGAAATGCAGGGGAGGGAAGTTATGCACGGCCTTAGACAGCTCCCAGGACCAAGGGTCCAGAACCTTCTAGCAGCCACAGTTCTTTGGGTCCAGGCCCTATCTCTCCCTGGGTTCTCCTTCTCCTGGTCTCTACCTCCCCTCGCCCCGCTCCCTTCTTCACCACTCTCCTCACACCAGACCTAGTCCTCTGAGCTGACAGGACCGTCTACTGCTGTCACGTGGGAAGGTGGCAGAGAGCCCCCTACTCCACTCACAAAGAATAAAAACATGTCCTCACGGCAGGACTCTTTATGAATTGCCCTATAAACATTACTATAAGCAGTGGTTAAAACCTACAGGAACAGGGCCTCCCCGGTGGTGCAGCGGTTGAGCGCTGGGTTGCGAAGCTGCCCGCAGCCTCTGCAGCACTGGTTCGATTCCCAACTGCTCCCCAGCCACCAGGGGAGGGTCCCACATGGCGCGCAGACCTCTCCTGCCGCCCGCTGCTCCCCTCAGCAGTGTACTTCGGTCCTTCTGCCTGTTCTGCTCCCTGCTCTGGCTCTGGTGAATTCTCTCACCCTCCCGAGCTTCTAACTGTACCCAATGCTTGTATAAATAAATAAATAAATCTTTAAAAAAAACCTACAGGAACATATATCCTTATTAGGTATAGAATTGGCTAAAGAGACATTCATGAGGGCCTCCCTGGTGGCACAAGGGGTTAAGCACCGCACTATGAAATAATCCACAGCCTCTGCAGCATGAGTTCGATCCCCAGCCTGCCAGGGAGCAACCCACATGGCGCAGCAGACCTCTCCTGACTCGCCCGCTGCTCCCCTCAGCAGTGTATTTCAGTCAGTCTGCCTGTTCTGTTCCCCACTCTGTCTCTGGTGAATCCTCTCAGCCCCCCGCATCTTTGGCCTGTACCCCAGCTCTTGTATGCATAAATAAATAAATCTTTAAAAAAAAGGACATTCATGAGCTCACTTAAGGGTCAATAACCACCAAGTACAAGAAAATATATTCACAGTCTAAATCTGTCTTTAAAACAAACTTTGAGTGTGCAACCTATTGGTGAGCTGATAACATTCAGTAAGTGTATTTTCAAAAAAACAAAGATTACTTTCAGGCATTTAAACAAAAAAAATTAATAGAAATACTTACTGTAATTTTAATAGCTTTGTTCAACACATTTACCCATTCTACTAGGTCCTGCTGATCATTGGCTTGTAGAAAGTATTTCCTCATCCCTGCATTCATAACTGTTGAGAGAAAAAACAAACTACAACATACGAACTTTTGCACTTATCTCTAAATTTATGTTTGCAGCAACTAAAAACTCTGCTAGGTTCAATACTGTGACTCTTGGATTTGAGAAAACACTAGGCGGTATTTACAACCACTTTCTAATCACTGAATAACACTGATAAAACTCATTTTTAATAGATTTGTTTTTCACTAAATGGATATACAACAATATAGCTATAGCCAATCCCCTAATAATGGACATTTAAGCTATTTCCAATTTTTGAAGTTCTATAAAGTACCCCAATAAAGCATGCATACATCTCTCTTCAGACTTGGCTGCATTTGGCTAGCATTTCTACAGGGTAGAACACAGATTCCTAACACAGATTTGTTGAATCACAGAGAATTCACACTTAAAATTCTCTATAAATTGGCAAATTGTCTTCCTGAAAGATGAAATCCACTTGCATGCCTAACAACAGTGTGCAGAGGCTTCCTCTGCTAATCCCCACCCAGCCTTGCTGGCAGCTGTGCTCCTAATGCACCACCCCTTGCTGTCAAGGCTGCATGACTGGGGTGGGAGCCTGCAAACGGTATTTCCTAAACTTCCTGGCCAGGTGGGTCACGTTCTGCCAATGGGAGGTACAGACCAGTGACTGGACGGGGAGGCAAATGGGGCAAGGAGACTCCTGCTGACCCTCCTCCAGTGGCAGCAGCAGCTCCAGGCTATTGGCCGCTCCCCACTCCAGCCTCAGACACCAGTCACTAGCTGCACCGCGGCCCTTGCAGAGTTCTAAGATCTGGCAACACTCTTCCTCCCTGGCCTGACTGTGGAGGTGCGTCAAGCCCACGTGAGCTCTCAGCCTTCCAGCAGCTGGGCTACGATGCCCCTGGGTTGGAAAGACCTACAGTGTGCTTCCCTGGCTGGACCCTGGCTCTTTCACAAGCTAGTCAGTAAATAATCACCTCCTGATCATATCTTAGGTTCTCTGATCACTAAGATCAATGAGTTCGACGTTTATGGGCCACATGATGGTTCATGAGTTTCATTTTCTTCACCCATATTTCTCGAGTTAATTTATTTTTTATTGATTCACAGGAGCTTTCATTTTAACCCTCGGTTCTCTCACTAGCACTTCCCTGTCTGTGGTCTGCTCATTTTGATCACAGTATCTTTGATCAAACAGATACAGTTTATCAATCTTTTGCTATTCCGTTAACAACACTTGTGTTCACGTCATATTTAGAAAATCTCCCTAACTCAGGATTACAAAAGTAAACACCTTCATTATTATAGCATTTATGTATTTTTTTTATACTTAGAATCTTAAAACATTTGGAATTAATGCAATTTAAGTTACAGATGCCCCTTTAGTGACTACCCACCGTGTAAGGTTGATTTACCTACACACACAGTTGTCTACACACTGCAGAGAGTCAATCCTTGAATTCAAGTTTACTAATTAGACATCATGTGCATTTACTTTTAAAAACATTATTTTAGAAGCGAAAGTATCTGAACAGCTACATTGCTGTAATTTTTGAAATGTTAAAAATAACTTCCGAAAGACTCATCAACATTTTTAATGATATATACCAGCATGCAGTTGAATATGACTAAGGGAAGGGGGAAATGAAAACCCTCAAGGAGAAAAAAAGCTTCTTAAACACACAAGATTTTGAAATTGGGACTAAGACCAATACACTAAACCAGAGCTTCCTTGAATTGAGATGAAGGTCTCAGAAAGGAAGTCAATTCATATCTTGTGAAGTGTTATAAAACAACCAGCCTAGAAAGTAAAGAAATTTAAACACATTATAAATTGCTCTTTTACGTCATTCTAGAGACTGGAGAAATTACAAACACCATAAATACACATTAACAAATTATAGCTAAGATACTATATCTATCAATATATGGTTTTTGTTTTTAATTTCTAAAAAGACTGGATGAATCTTATGTAGGTTGAAGCTCAGGCTTTTTCCTCCTCAAGGTTAAGGCATCGGCCTACAACCTCTGAAGTCTGAAAATCTAAGCACTAAGTAACTCTACCCCTGTAGACCTGCCCAAGACACACAAACCTTCCTTTCAAGGACGGACAAGGGGCAAATACACCTTTAAAAAGACACCATGAGGCTGAACAGCCCGGAGTCAGTCAGACCTGCCGGCATCACCCACTAACGAGCGACATCACCTTGTAACAGCTGCTGCCTTGCACTCCACCCTGCTCATCTGTGAACTGGGAAGGACACCACCCCTCCTTGAGGGGAGGAGGCCACGTATATAAAGAAGCTGGCACAGTGCCGGGGACAGATGGCTGTTCATCATCGCCTGTAGCACCCCACCCTCATCTGAACAATGTCCCGCCAAGTGTACTGTGAAAATGTAGAGCGAATCACTGAAAAGTGGGGTATCAGCAATGTGGGAGTTGGGAGGACACTCTGAATGTTAAGAAACAGTGTACAAAACCTGTCCACTGCTGTGCTTTGAAAGCCAGGGTTTCATCGTGTCCATGAGCACATCCCCAAGAACACTCAAGTGCTCTTGCCACCTTCACTGACGTACAGCTTTTCCATTTTGAGTTTTTGCCATCAGAGTGAAAACATCGAATATATATAACTTGAAGTGCAAACATTAACTTAACTGCATACAAAAGTCATCTCACAATGTAGGGTCAACTGGTTATGGTTCAAATGTCAATATGAGAAGATCAATGGTTTTGAGACATTTTATCTTATCATTTCTTTGTCAATTTTCTACGTTTCCTCTGTTCTTCTTCCATCATCTTCTCTATTGGTGTTAGTCTTGACAGAGTCTCTAATTATATTTCTCTCCTGTTATCTAGCTTTGTCTTTATCTTACTTTTCTTGAGCTTTTCACTCTCACATTCTTTTCCCTATATGATAGTTTTCTCTCAGCAAATGTCATGTAGCCATGCACAGTCCTCATATTTTAAAAGAAGTTGCTAAAAAAAACAGACCAAAAGCTCCCCGAAATGCTGCAGGGTTGTATTGTCAGCTGGTAGAGCTCACTAACCGGCAAGCTCTCCTGGCAGAAATGCCCAGAGGTCAGTTCCTGCCCATGGGTCTCTTCCTCGGCATCTCCAGGTTTTATCCCGCCTGTGCCGCGCTGCCTGATGCCCCGGCTGGCCCGAGAAGGCTGCGTGCAGCGGGCAGACTTTCACGTAATCCTATCTGCAGTTTCCTGCCTCATCTCACCTTCTCTGGGACGAGTGTCTCCAAGCACAGGACATCACTGAGTCTATTTCTGCAGACACGAAACACGCCAATTCTTGCTTGGAGGAGGGGGCGGGGGCTGCCTGACCGAGTGAGATGGAGGTAGGGACTAGAAGTGGTTTCTCATGTGGACATTCAGGCAAAAGCCTTGTTCTCGGCCCCACCCTTCACGGTAAGTGTCCCGGACCTAGGCTGGTGAGAGTTGGGTAGGGGCAGGACACCGCACGGTCAGCTCCTCTTTGGCCTCTTCTCCTCTGCCATGGTATTTACCTCCAAACACTCCCCGCTGTCCTATCCCTCGGGCTATAGGTAGAGCAGTGTCTGCTGCTTTCATGAAAAATGGTTTGCGTATTTCTTGCTCTCACTGTTTCTGGGCAATATGAGAGGAAACGGGAGGGAAACGCTTTATGCTGCTATTTTGAAGGGAAGTTGTGGTTCATTTTAGAAGCCAGTGCCTCCCTCCTGAGGGCAAACATTCTGTGATTCTTCGCTCCTCCAGCAGGAGAAAGCTCATCAACTACTGACAGGTCAGCAAATGGCTGTATTAGTCTTTGATTCCAACCAAAATCCATCATTCTAAAGCCCCCAACTGAGTATCGAATCTGTTGTTGAATATCCCTGTCCTTTCAAACTGTCACTCTGAGGTTTTACACCAAGAGGACGTGTCAAGGGTGTGTGCAGCATATAATCTAAGACATAGAGTCCCCGCGACTTGACCTGCCCCCAGTAACCAGCCTCTCAGACACAAGGCTGAGGTACTTTCCTATTTAATGACCAAAATTATAAACAGGCAACTTTTTTTTTTTGTTTCTCAATGGGGGTGAAGGCATGAGAAGGAGTCCCTGTTCAGTCAGCTGGCCAGCATGTCCAACTCACGCACCCTCTGCTCCCTGGCCTTGTCAAGGCTACCCTGGCACTCTGCCCTGAGAAGCCCCACGGCTCAACAAAAGACAACTAGAACTTGAACATGAATTCTACCCTGAGGAAGATCTTTTCTACTTTATGAGAGTGCCAGATCCTAACCACTAGTCCATCAGGGAACTCAATCATTTTTACTCCACGTAAAATAGTTCCTTCAGATGTCAGTCGGCCACTCTGCCCTCATCACACATGCCCACTGACACACTTGCTGAGAGCCCAGCAATTCTCCAGCGTCAACTATTACCCATGGTTATGAGATTCCAAACTTCTCCATTTTTTTTAAGCTCCATCCAGTCCTGCATTACTGTCACCAACACAGCTCCATCCGCAAGTTCCCTACCACTTCACAGTCCTTACCAAACACCCTGCGCACCCCACGGCCTCTCCTCAAATTCTCACCCTCTACTGCAGTAGACCTGCCTGGCACCTCTCTTCCCTTCAGCTCCCACAGATCCAGTCATCTAGTCCCTGTACTTGTCCTTTTAGTGCTTTTCATGTTTCCTCTTTTCCCCATCCCAATTCAGGTCTTTACCTAAGTACAGTAGTTTAAAAGCCACTTATATAATCTAAATGCATCAGAACTCTCCTAGCCAAAAAGAAACCACAAACTTCTTTCCTCTAATTTCTCCTTCCCCTCTAATTTCTCCACTCGTTAAAAAAAAAAAATCACCTGCCAACACGTGACACCTGCCCTCAGCCTGCCTTCTCTCCTCAGTTCCTCCAGCTTCACTCAGTGTTTGGTTCCCTTCACAAGCAAAGCTCCCTTCCCTTCGCCTCTGTCTGGGGGATCCTCCCTCCACCTTTTCTCCCCAGTGGTAGGGATGACCAGGGTTAGCTGACAACTCAAGTGTCTCCTCATCCAATGTGGCCTCCCTGACCCCTAGGTCCCACGTGAGGATCTGAAGAGCCTCACAAAGATCCTTAGTGCTTAATGACTGTGCACCTCTTTACCTACTGGCTGCGATACGCACCACAGTCATTACAGGTAATTAGCCTGCACTGCCCCTGCCCGCGAGAGCCTTAAGGACAGCAACTGCCCCTGCTTCTGCAAACGCACTTGACATTCCTTGAATGTTTGCTGAACAAGTTTCTCTGCTACCCTCAACTATCCCTTTCCTCAACTGTAAACTCCTCTTAGCCACCCACTAAAAGCCAAATCCTTTTCGCCGTTTATGTATTTAATGTAGACAAATACAAGGTAGGAAGTAGGGAATTACCCGAAATCTCACTGGAGCTGATGGCTATTCGTTATTAATGCCTACATAGTGATTACACACGGGCAGGAGGAGAGGCTGTGACTGGGCTTTAGGGGAGCACCTGGATGGTGGTTTCAGGAAATTTGCCTTAGAATAATCATTGACCAGGAGGTTTGTGCTGTGGGACTTTCTGTGGCTGTTTTTCTTTCTACAGGGTGTAATTATATTAGTCTAACTTAAAATAATTAACAAAATAAAATGACTACTTACCAAAACAGAACTCAGCCTTCGGCCTTAGCTTAGTCGCATCGCTAACCTACCAGAGAAAAAAAGAGTCATTCACCTCCTCGTGTGATGCTACAACCAACCTCACATGCTGTGCAGACGTCTACACAGGATTTCCCGACAATTACACATGGAGCACAGAGATCTAAACTTACACTTTAAAGATTCAAGTTTAAAATTAAACTGCTTCAACTTTAAAATTAAACTGAAAAAGAACTGTAAATCAAATATAGGATATGACTCCCAACTATAAGATGTTTAAAACAAATAATACATCCATGTTCTCTCTGAACAAACTTGTTTTTCTTCAAAGAAACATGCAATTGAAAGTTAACCATTAAGGGCCTCCCCGGTGGCGCAGTGGTTGAGCGCCGGATTGCGAAGCTGCCCGCAGCCTCTGCAGCACCAGTTGGATCCCCAGCTGCTCCCCGGCCACCAGAGGAGGGTCCCCCATGGCGCGCAGACCTCTCCTGCCGCCCGCTGCTCCCCTCAGCAGTGTACTTCGGTCCTTCTGCCTGCTCTGCTCCCCGCTCTGGCTCTGGTGAATTCTCTCACCCTCCTGCGCGTCTGACTGTACCCAGTGCTTGTATAAATAAATAAATAAAAATAAATCTTTGAAAAAAAAGTAAACCATTAAGCTGTGTTACGTATGTAAATATTTTTAGTTTAAGATAATTTTCAAAATAATCTCAACGAATATGCCACAGAAATGATGCATTCTTTCCAAACTATTTCTAAACTAACTGAGAACTGCAGGAGAGCACAGTGGTAGGAAAGGGTGGAGTATATATTTAAAGTCCCCAAATCCAGGAGGCATTAACCTGAAGGGGCATGAACCCCTCTTGTACACAGAATTCCAGGGACAATAGGGTCACACAGCTCCTTTCAGAAAGTGAAGCAACTGGCTGCACCTAGTTGCTGCTCTCTCTTCAGACAATGTCCTTTTTTCTAGAAATCCATTCATGACAATTGCCAGGCTGCTGCCCACTTACATCTCCACAACTGTCTTGGACTTTCAAGAAGAATTCTAAGTCTGGGGTTCTTAACAGATCCCGGCAAATTCAAAGCTCCGAGTCACGGGCCTCCCCAGTGGCGCAGCGGTTGAGCGCTGGGTTGCGAAGCTGCCCGCAGCCTCTGCAGCGCCGGTTCGATACCGGAGGAGGGTCCACATGGCGCGCAGACCTCTCCTGCCGCCCACTGGCAGACTTCGGTCCTTCTGCCTGCTCTGTTCCCGCTCTGGCTCTGGTGAAGCATTTCTGACTGTACCCAGTGCATGTAAAAAAAACAAAAAAAAAAAAAAAAAAGCTCCGAGTCACACTGAAATTTGTTCTAGGAATAAATTCTGGGGAAAAGTGGCATGTCTAAAGTGGAATACTAACCGTACATAAGTTAAACTACAATAAGCTGTGGAACAGAAATGAAAGTTAACTGCCCACCAGAGAGAAGGCTGTATTTTAAAAGGGAACAAGGGAGGAGGGGAAAGCAGCTGGCCAGTCAGCCCGCTGGCTTTACTGAAAAAATAACTTTGGTTTTAAAAAGAGCTCTAGTTTTGAAGAGTCTAGGCAACGACAACTGAAAAGACACCAGCAACAGGGGAGCTCTCCCTCCACTGCCCAGTCCAATAAGCCGAGCTTTCTTGTCAACGTCACTGAGAGTAAGCGATGCCCAGCAGTTTACTTACACCAGTTTATACACAGACTATACACGATCTAGTAAATTGGACTCTAAAATGTATTTACAATGGAATTCTATGCCCCTAACAATACTATCTATAGAATGTAAGCTGCAAACTGACAGAAATACTTGTATACTTAAACAATATTTGTCTTTTGTAAATTTACATTTTAACATAAAATATTTCCCTTTAAATACGTAATCTTTATTGTCCAGTGGCTTTTTGTCAATGGAAATGAATAGTTCTATTTTAATATTGAAAACAAGTATTGGGCCTCCCCTGGTGGCACAGGCGGTTGAGCACAGGGCTGTGAAGCTGTCTGCAGCCTCTGCAGCGCCAGTTAGATCCCGGCCAGCTGGCGAGGGTCCCACATGGCACGGCAGACCTCTCCTGTCCTGCCCGCTGCAACCCTCAGCAGTGTATTTCGGTCAGTCTGCCTGTTCTGTTCCCCGCTCTGTCTCTGGTGAATCCTCTCATGCATCTGGCCTGCACCCCGGTTCTTGTATAAATAAATAAATCTTTTTAAAAAATTGAAAACAAGTACTTTATTTATAAAAATAACTTTTTTTAAACAGAGGCACATTTATAAATTATCTTCTGCTGAAGCCTTTGCTAGTAAATCCCAATGCATGCGTAAAAGAATGTTCATGCATAACAGAGTGCATAGGCACATTACTTATCCATTTTGTGCTGCTACTCTTCTCAGCCCATATCTTAAACAATAATCAACAAACTTATCATTCTGTGTAAAACACAAAAAAACTTCAGGGCTGGCAGCTCAGCAACTCAATCTTAGTTTCCAAAACACTAATGTAAGAACACAAGGAAAAAACTACTTGCCAATATCAAGTCTAAATGTTTTAAAAGAAAAAAATAGTATTGCAAAAATACCACAAACATCAATAAAGAAAACAGAAATTAGCAGAGACAAAGTGAAACCATCATGAAGATGGTTAAAACCCCTCAAAATAAAACATAAGCAAAAGTCAAAGTAATGGGAATAAAAATTATTAGGAACAGTTTAAAACAAATAAAATAGATTTAGAAAAATCTCCAAACTTCCCCAATAGAGAATCCAACTGTGAGCTGATTTCCACTTCTAGTATTCATGTACCTGATCATGAAAGTTAAAAGTCACCCTTTGGGGCCTCCCCTGGTGGCGCAGTGGTTGAACGCTGGGCTGCGAAGCTGCCCGCAGCCTCTGCAGCGCTGGTTCGAGGGTCCCACATGACACGCAGACCTCTCCTGCCACGCCTGCTGCTCCCCTCAGCAGTGTATTTCGTCAGTCTGCCTGTTCTGTTCCCTGCTCTGTCCCTGGTGAATCCTCTCACCCTCCCACGCATCTGGCCTGTACCCCGGTTCTTGTATAAAATAAATAAATCTTTAAAAAAAATTTTAAAAAGTCACCCTTTGCATTTTGCTACAACCTTTGCATTAACCCTATGTTCTTCCTAATATCATCAAAGGGCTTCCTAAACACAGTAACTAGATACTATTTTAGCATATGAGCCTAACATCAACATTAAATGACAAAGAAAGGAAGTCACTCCTTTTTTTCTCTTTTACATGCACCCTGCTCCTTCCCCGTCAATAGAGCAAGCTGGGAACTGTAATCCAAGGTATCTGCTACAAGTAAGACTCAGGGTGTAGGCCAGACACATAAAGGTGCGGGAGGTCACTAGAGACAGAGTAGAAAATAGAAAAGGTGGATTAGTTGAAGAGAATGGGCAAAATAGGAGCGCTCCTGCTGCTGACAGTCACTTCTTTTATATCTACTCCCATTCTAAGGAATTTTCATCTTACATGGACATAAGACAACACATAAAGGTTACCTTTGAAATGTAGGTAAGTTTTATGGCTCCAACACGTGATGACCCAGAAGGCAGGTTCTGGAAACAAATTATTAATATATAATTAAAGCACAATATTAAGAATTCATTTTATATATGGATGTTCTATACACACTAAAAAAGTTAAGAAATTAGATTTTTTATTATCACATTTTACAAAACAACTTTTCAGTTCAGGTATTTACTAGATTTGAAGTCAAACAGACAATGTGGGCAACAAGATTGAATCCTATTCCACCACAATGTAATCTATAACAAAAAGACCATTTTTATCACTATTGCTAAACTCATTTTCTTTTTCATGAGTTTAAAAAGGCATAAGATCAGATTTTTTTCCTGACAGCAATGGGAAAAAATATTTAGAGACATGAAACAATACAATTGTAAGAAACGCATATATATGTATGTGGGTATATATACATATATATTCACTTTGTACTATTAAATTTTTTTTTAAAGATTTATTTTTATTTATTTATACAAGCACTGGGTACAATCAAAAGCGCAGGAGGGTGAGAGAATTCACCAGAGCCAGATGGGGGAGCAGAGCAGGCAGAAGGACCGAAGTACACTGCTGAGGGGAGCAGTGGGCGGCAGGAGAGTCTGCGTGCTAGTGGGACCCTCCTCCGGTGGGCAGGGAGCAGCCGGGGATCAAACCGGCGCTGCAGAGGCTGCGGGCAGCTTTGCAACCCAGCGCTCAACCGCTGCACCACCGGGGAGGCCCTGTACTATTAAAGTTTTAACCAAATGTATCTTGTAAAGATTGGATTCAACCCCATGTAAAATGTACTTTTAAATACACTTGAAATTATTTATTATATTAATTAGGTAATATTCATTATACTTACCGTACATTGATAATAATTTTCCAAAAAAATATTAAATGATACTCTTTAAACTATAAGCAAGGAATGTATATACTGGCACTTTCATACAAAATATTTTTATTCTGTCCTTAACAAATTTGATGTGTGGTTTGTGTCTTAAAAGAACTAAGGGTAAAAAATTAAGGAGAGTTATTCCCACAAAGACGAGCAGGAAAGACTCTGGGGGAGTGAACAGCATTTAAGCTGAATTTTAAAAGAAAATTCTGAAACACAAAGAACAGGTAAGAGAATGTTCCAGGCAAAGAAAACAAGACCAGCCACAGCACAAGCAGGTGAGGCTACCCGGGTGCTCTGACTGGAAAGGGAAAGGGACTGTGTAGAGCCGTAATGCGGTGTCAGACAGGGTTTCAGTGAAAATGGCTGTTGGGAACTTGAACAAGAACATAATTACACAGGACCTAAATAAAACAAAGTGGCAAGAAATTTATACTAAGAATTTGAAGCCATTAAAGAATTATTATGAGCAGTCCTGTAATCAAAACAGTGCTTTAATTAATATATTTTATAATATAACAAATTAGATGGATTATAGAGGAGTCAAGGAGGAAATAGGAAAAACAGATAAAAGAATATGGGGACCTCCCTGGCGGCTCAAGGGGTTAAGATGCAACCCATGAAGCTGTCCACAGCCTCCGCAGCACAATTTGATTCCCCATCCAGCCAGGAAGAAACCCACATGGTGCAGCAGACCTCTCCTGACTCGCCCGCTGCTCCCCTCAGCAGTGTATTTCAGTCAGTCTGCCTGTTCTTTTTTTTTTTTTTAAGATTTATTTATTTATGCATACAAGAGCTGGAGTACAGGCCAGAGATGTGGGGGGTGAGAGGATTCACCAGAGACAGAGTGGGGAATCGAACAGACAGACTGACTGAAATACACTGCTGAGGGGAGCAGCGGGCAAGACAGGAGAGGTCTGCTGCACCATGTGGGTTGCTCCCTGGCTGGCCAGGAATCAAACTCGTGCTGCAGAAGCTGCAAATAAATAGCTTCATAGGCTGTGTCCTAACCCTTGTGCCACCAGGGAGGCCCAGTACACCTATTCTGTTCCCCACTGTGTCTCTGGAGAATCCTCTTACCCCCTACACCTCTGGCCTGTACTCCAGCTCTTGTATACATAAATAAATAAATTTAAAAAAAAAATAATATGGGGAGGAGAAATTAAAAGACTGATGGACAATTTCAAACATAAAATTAAAATAATCTTATTTTGCAAGGTTCCTCCATTGTAGGTTGTACAATATAGTGCAGAATCAACTTTTAAACAGACTTTATAATAAAGTACATTAAAAAAAAACTATGCATTTGTTCTCACTAAAGATTAGGAGGTAATTTTCTCTGACCTCAACAAGCTTGCCAGGAACAGTTACTCCTAGATAGTCCCCACGTGAACCAGTTATTAATGAGACTGATCTTTTCAAAACTTTCACTCCTGATCTGCTATAACATTATAAATAAATATGCATATACAATAAAATATAACAATTTGAAAAGTGTAACTTTAAATGGCTGTGTTCTTACACAAAATGTTTTGTGGCTAGAGGCTTTTGCTTGTTTTTTTGTTTGTTTTATTTTCAGATAAGGAAATGAAAGGTTAGGATGTCTTCAAGATCCCCTAACTACCACCAAAGTGATTTTTTTCAGACACTGCTACCTTTCCACTCAAGACTTGTTTTTATTTGAACTGGCTGAATACAGCTATAAGCCTCTGTGTGAGAAAGAGAAATGAGAAACTGTCCTGGCAGTCTAACACACTGGGCCACAGATTCAGCAGCGGCGTGGCACAGGGAAATACAAGTAGCTGAGATAATAAACAAAGACCAGTTCAACGCAAGTGTCTGTGGGCTAATATGACTACTGCCAAGTAAAACAAAGTGGGCTTCAAAATTTGTAATTTAGTAATGAACAACAAATAAAGAACTTGTATAACATATTCAAGATAAAAAGGGAATTAAGCCATTTATTTTTTAAGATTTATTTATTTATACATATAAGAGCTGGGGTACAGGCCAGAGATATGGTAGGTGAGAGCATCCACCAGAAACATAGTGGGGAAATGAACAGGCAGACTGTCTGAAATACACTGCTGAGGGGAGCAGCAGGTGAGTCAGGAGAGGTCTGCTGCGCCATGTGGGTTTCTCCCTGGCTAGTCAGGGATTGAACTCATGCTACAGAGGTTGTGCTTAACCCCTTGCGCCACCAGGGAGGCCCATGCCATTTATTCTTATGAATCCCTGCGCTCATTTTGCCAAAACATTTTTTTCAAGTTCAATTCATTTTATAATATGATTGTTTTAATTAAATTCTTCACCATTACCCATGCCCTCATCAAAACACAGAAAGTCCCAAGTCGATCCTTAGCAACTAGATTGGATCTTAAACCAATGGTTTGTGGTTAAAAAATAGGTGTGGGGCCTCCTTGGTGGTGCAAGGGGTTAAGCATCGCATTATGAAGCAATCCACAGCCTCTGCAGCATGATTTCAATCCCCAGCCCTCTAGGGAGCATCCCACATGGCACAGCAGACCTCTCCTGTCTTGCCTGCTGCTCCCCTCAGCAGTGTATTTCAGTCAGTCTACCTGTTTTGTTCCCCACTCTGTCTCTGGTGAATCCTCTCATCCCCCCTACATATCTGGCCTGTACCCCAGCTCTTATATGCATAAATAAATAAACCTTAAAAAAAAAAAATAGGAGAAGAAAAATGGCTTCTGACACAAAGGTAAACCAAACTGATCTGTTGTCATAAGGGTTATGATGATCAATATAAACAAGGTATAAAACCTAAAAACAACTAGACCGAATCACATGACATTGCCGTTTTGTAGATCAAATGATCTATATTGGCAATTTTATATGGTTCAACATATAATAATCTTAGTAACCTATTTTACTAAAGTTCCCATGAAGAAATGCATGTGGACTGACAGGTATAAAGGTGACACAAAGCTGGAGTGATGGCTAATATACTGGCTGGCAAAATTAAGACTGTAAGAGTCTCATTGGTTGGAATGAGTAAAAACAAACCGAATAGAAACACATTAAAAATCCTGCACCACATTCGGAAAACCCAACGCGTTAATCCCACCACAGAAAGATGCCTTTAAACAAGTTCACGCAAGCAAGACCTGGCAGAGAGCGAACATGAGCATCTACTCTCCTGCCGAGAGCACAGGGACACTGTTCTCTAAAACTGTCACAGGCTTGATTGCTTTTATCTCTTTGCCCATTTCTTGCCCTGCTGTTCCCTGAACACTCCACCTCTTAGCCAAAATCACAGCCATCCTTCTAGGTCAATTTCAAATGTCACCACCACCTCCATCCAGACATGCTCCCTCCACAACGCACCACACCCATGTTCCGAATTCAAAGTTCATTTCCCTCAGTGTAATGAACATACCCTATTTGTACTTTTTTCCCTTTCGCTCTGTTTAAGTGGGAAATACTAATGAGGAATTCAGAGGAGAATCTATTATGTATGAAGACAGAAAAACAATCAAGGAATTTTAAATGAAATTCCGGAGAAAGCATGGATCAGACAAGCAGATCTCATGGACAGAAAGCAACAGAGGGAGAGAACATGGGCAGAACTACGCAACGGCTTGCTGGGGCGAGAAGAACCAGAAACTGAGACTAGTAAATAGTAATTAGAGGGAGTCAGGGGGACTAAATTGCTTTCTACCTCGGGAAAAAGCATTTGGAAGGGTATTGTGCCACAGATCAAGAGATGGGGTCATTAAGAGGGAGGAATCTGATTTGTATAAAAAAAAGATAAACATGAAATTTTTCTGCTGACTGTTGCTTCTTCTCCAACTGACTGTGGTCAAGTAAATAACAGTATTAATCATGTAGCTGCTGAGCCAGCTTTATACCACCCAAGAAAGTTGGTTACACCCAGTAAAACAGGGAGTCAATGGCACTATAAGGATAAAGATAGAGAATAGACAGTTCTTAGCAAGAAAAATTGTAGAGTCAGTGCTCATATAATATCAACAGAATTAAAATATAAATCACACTCCAAAATTTAAGGCTGCATGTAGATGCAGCACTTAACTTACTTTACAGAGAATCAGGAAGACAGATGTAGGTTTAAATGGGTAGAAAATAAAAGCAGTAGAATCTGTGTCACAGAAAAAATAATACTAGAAGCTGTCTCAAATATACCTTTTAGCAAGGTGTGTTTCAAACGATGGCTAAGATGAACAGCAGGGATGGGTAGGTTTCTTGATTAAGGAGGAGGTTGTATTAATCTTAAGGTCCCTTACAACTCAAATTCAATATAAGCAAATAAAAATGCGTTAGCATAGATCTAAAAATCAGTGTCGGGGAGTGAAGAATTCCACCTAGCTGTCAGGACCGCTAGCTCCTGCTCTGTGCAATGCAATGGTCCTTCCAGCAGTCTTGGCTTTCTCCTCAACAACCTGACCTTTCTTTTCTCACCTGCACAAGAAGCCCGGGTCAGCTGAGTGGTTTCCCAGGGACTCCGGTCTTACTTTACACAGACTTACTTTCAACATACATCTCAACTTGAATGAAGCGTTTCACAGATAGAGAAAACTTAAAACTACCTGGAAGGAGGACCTCTCATCCAAGGACTCTTACAGATCTCAAAACCAGGATTCTAGTTTTTAATTTGACATTTACCCCAGTGCTGTGCAAGGCAACAATGAAATCAAAGCGCACTGAATTTCAGGAATGGCGCTACAGCGGCGGGCACTCAAGCCTGACACTGCAAGATGAAGAGAATCCACATATGCCAAGCAGTAAGGGTGATTAAAACAGAGCAGGCTCGGGCCTCCCCGGTGGCGCAGCAGTTGAGCGCGAAGCTGCCGCAGCTGGTTCGATCCCCTGCTGCTCCCCGGCCACTGGAAGAGGGTCCCACATGGCACGCAGACCTCTCCTGCCGCCCGCTGCTCCCCTCAGCAGTGTACTTCGCTCCTTCTGCCTGTTCTGCTCCCTGCTCTGGCTCTGGTGAATTCTCTCACCCTCCCGCGCTTCTGACTGTACCCAGTGCTTGTGTAAATAAATAAATAAATAAATCTTTAAAAAACAAAAAACAGAGCAGGCTCTAGCCCAGTCTCTTATCATCTTAAGCCTAAATAATTAGAGCATTTTATAACAAAGACAGTGTTTCTCTTCCAAAGAGGGAAAAACACACACATGCATGCATTTTTAGCAAATAAGTGTAGTTTCATCTTCTGGGCGTGCAGGGCCAGGGAGAGCACAGCCAGTAGAAATAAAAATGCCCAAACACACACTGTTGAGAAGACCAGTCCTAACAGCTGTACATTCTGTCAGGACGTGAATTAATACAACTCTCATGTGCTTGCAAAGAAAGGCAGTCCTCAGATTTTACAAACCTGTGGGTTGTCCATGTACCATACAAAGCTATCTTCTCTGGTATCCAGGATGAAGTACCGTCGAAGAAACTTGCCACTGTTCTCATTTTCTTCAATGTCTAGAAAACCACAAATGCGATTCTGACGATCCACATAAGGCATTTCTGAACTTGAACATTACACTGTAAAATAAAGACATCGACAGTATTTCTCAGTGGACTTGAGCATAAAATGTGCTGTGGTACATACAGTTTGTTCAACAAGGAGCCCATCTTCCAACATTCATGTGAACACACAAAAAGCATGGGCAAAAGTCACTTCTGAAATTAAAATTAATGTTTCTGCTACTAAGAGAACTGTATACCCTAATGGGGACAAAGCGGTGCTTTTCACCTCAGTTTAATAATTAACCACCGCAAGTGAGCCCCAAAACTATCAAACTTTAAATCCCTCACTGATAAATCAAGACAATCTTTCAGGTTTAGAATTACTCTAAAATTCACACGACGACAAGAACAGCCCTCACTCACTGGCCTCGCTCTAGGACAGGTCCCACGCGGGGTTCTTTTCAACACTCTTTTCCACTTAATTCTCAAAACCACTCTATGAGTTGGCATCACCATCCGCATTTCACTGATAAGAAACTTTTCCTTTTTACTCAGTAAGCAGGTGTACTAGCAGAGGGAAAGAGGCGCCTGCACAAACACAGGTGCACAGAGCGCTGCTGCCGATGAGAAACTCACGGCCCAGAAGGGGAAGCGTGTGTCCAAGGTTGGAGAACTCATAGGTAATAAATCAAAACACGAATCCAGGCGCTGGAACTCCTAGCTCATATCTTAACCCCTATACTACCCTGGCCCTCGAAAGCTCTGAGAATTGTTAAAAACTAAAATCAAAATAAAATTAGCTGACATAATGGAAAAAAGAGAGAGAGAAGCAAGTTGCGTGCCCCCAGAGGGAGGCCACAGACATCACCAGAGAAGTGAACATCAACAAAAAAATTTCTATCTGAATCTGATCAAGTCTCTAGCTCTCCCTAAGCCCAACGTCCAGTCTGCAGGAACTAACAGGGGAATACAGTAAACCGCGCCCACAGGGATTCAATCAGCAGAAGCCGGACTGTGGGAAACAACAGGACAAATAGCCCGGTTTTTTCAGCAAATAAATGCAGAGAAAAAGAGTCACAGACTAAAAGAGATTCCACTGGCATGTCATATCCTGAGTCTCAAGTACTGAAATTTTTGTTGTACTAATTAAAGATTAAAAAACAGGACTTGGGGGCGTCCCTGATGGCATAAGGGGTTAAGATACAACCTACGAAGCTATGGCAGCCACTGCAGCACCTGTCTGATCCCCGGCCTGGAAGCTACCCACAAGTAGCAGCAGACCTCTCCTGTCTCCCCGCTGCTCCCCTCAGCAGTGTGTTTCAGTCAGTCTGCCTGTTCTGCTCCCCACTCTGTCTCTGGTGAATCCTCTCACCCCCCCCACACCTCTGGCCTGTACCCCAGTTCTTGTATGCATGAATAAATAAATCTTTAAAAAAAAAAAACAGGACTTGGGTAAAAAGCAGTTTTCCGGCCATTTTTCTCTCAAAATTATAGCAAATGATCCCTTTCTGACATGCTGTCAATCAGCAGATCATTCCTCTTCTGGCATTTCTACTGCCAGTACCACCAGTTTTTGGTAGGTTGATTTTCTGTAACTAGTTCTTCATTTAAAGGTTAAAGGTAAATTTAACCAAAGTAAAATTTCACTCAGAAGACACCCTGGTACATACTGCACATCTAAATCACTACTCCATATACAGCCAGAGAAATGGTCGAACAAACCAAAAGTTTTAAAACAAAAAAGATCCATTAAGTTTGTCAGTGTGTGGGCCTCCCTGGTGGTGGAAGGGGTTAGGTCTCAGCACTGTCAAGTTATCTGCAGCCACTGCTGCAAGAGTTCGATCCCCAGCCAGGGAGCTGACCCACATGGCGCAGGAGACCTCTCCTGTCTCCCCCCTGCTCCCCTCAGCAGTGTATTTCAGTCCATCTGCCTGTTCTGCTCCCCACTCTGTCTGGTGAATCCTCTCACCCCTCATCCCCTGAGGCACCTCTGGCCTGCACCCCAGCTCTTACATGCATACATTTTTTTTTTTTTAAAGTTTGTACGTGTGTTATAGTATTATAAACCTGGCACTTAGAAGAGACAATTTCTTCAATAAACTAACCCAGGGCCTCCCCTGGTGGCGCAGCGGTTGAGCGCTGGGCTGCGAAGCTGCCCGCAGCCTCTGCAGCGCAGGTTCGATCCCCCACCGCTGGCAAGGGTCCCACATGGCGCAGCAGACCTCTCCTGCCATGCCTGCTGCTCCCCTCAGCAGTGTACTTCATCAGTCTGCCTGTTCTGTTCCCTGCTCTGGCTCTGGTGAATTCTCTCACCCTCCCGCGCTTCTGACTGTACCCAGTGCTTGTACAAATAAATAAATAAATCTTTAAAAAAATAAATAAAATAAAATAACCCAAAGTTTAAAACAAAACTCTAAAATATAATCAAATGTTGACGAATTAATACGCTATGCTAACATATACTATATTTTTAAAAAAGCACAACTATTAGCTTGTGTGGTATTGCCTTGAGGACTAACATAGGCTGAAGGAACAGAACTGAGAGCACAGAGATAAACCCCATACATCTATGGTCAACTAATGTTCAACAAGCATGCCTAAATCACACGATATGGAAAGAATAGCCTCTTCACCAAACAGGGCAGTTGGATACCCACATGCTAGAGAATGAAACAGGACTCCTTCCTCACACCACATACAAAAATTAACTCGAAATGGATAAGCAATCTAAACATAAAAAGAGCTGACAATATAAAACTTCAAGGAAAACAGGGGTTAATCTTCATGATCTTGGATGAATTCTTAGATGACACCAAAAACATAAAAGAAAAAATAAATTTGATCTCATAAAAACTAAACATTTCTCTGCATTAAAGGATATTAAGAAATAAAGACAACCTAAAGAATGGGAGAAACTATTTGCAAATTATAAATCTGATAAGGGTCCAGTATCCTGAATATATAAATAACTCTCACAACTTACCAACAAAAACCACCACCCAACTAAAAAAATTGAGCAAGGAACTAGAAAAGATATTTCTCCCAAAGACATAGACCTGGCCAAACAGAGCACAAGGATATACTCAGCATCCCTAGTCATTAGGGAACTGTAAATCAAAACCACAATGAGATACCACGTCAACCCACCAGAATGGCTGTCCTAATCAAGACAGGAAAAGAATACATTTCGGCAAGACGGTGAAGAAACTGGAATCCTCTCACTTTGCTCGTAGAATGTAAAACAGTTGCGCAAAACAGTTTGATAGTTCTTCAAAAGTTAAATATAAATTACTATATGACTCAGGATTTCTACTACTAGTATCTACCCACAGGAACTGAAAAACAGGTACTCCGACACTTACACGGGAATGTTTCCAGCAGCACTACTCACAAAGGCCAAAATGTGGAAATGACCCATCAACAGGTAAACAGATAAGCAAAACATTTTATATCCATATAATGGAATACTAATCACAGAGAAAGGAATGAAGCACTGACATAATGGATGTAATCCAAATTCCAGCAGGACAGTTTCTAAACATTGACACAGTGAAGTATATACATAGAAATACAAATGATCGAGAGAAGGTAAATCTAAGGATGAGCAGGAACACGTATACTACTTGATTGTAAGATTTAACAATAAAGATACAACAAAAAAAAACAGTACAGAATTGGTAGGAAATAGATATGATAAATCAGTGGAATAAAATAGCATCCAGAAACAGACCTTATACACACGGTCAACTAACTTTCAACAAAGAGGCCAGGACAATGCATAGTGAAAAGATAGCCTGCTTAAAAAACGGTGTTGGAACAATCGGAACAATCAGTTATGCAACAATAAAGCTTGGAGAAAAAAACAAACAAACAGGAGACCGGGCCTCCTTGGTGGCGCAGGGGTTAAAGTCTCAATGCTATCAAGCTATTGCCAGCCACAGCTGCATAAGTTCAATCCCTGCCCAGGGAGCTAACCCACATGGCGCAGCAGACCTCTCCTGTCTCGCCTGCTGCTCCCCTCAGCAGTGGATTTCAGTAGATCCTCCTGTTTTGCTCCCCACTCTGTTTCTGGTGAATCCTCTCAACCCCTGCACCTCTGGTCTGCACGCCAGTTCTTGCATGCATGCATAAATAAATAAATCTTTAGAAACAAACAACAGGAGACTGTCTTCATGACCTTGGGTGAAGATAAAAAAAAGACACAGTCTGAGCCATATAATGGTTAATATACTGGGTATATTATTAATCAAAACTAAAATGTAGTCTTTGACAGAAACCAAAAGACAAGGCAAAAAAAATGGGAGGAAATATTGAGTACATCTTTAATTAACTGATATCCAAGAACAAGCAAGAAAATAATACAATTCAATAAGGCAAAACCAACAAATAGAAAAATGGGCCAAAACTCTGAACAGACACATTTTAAAAAACTCATCGTTAATCAGGAAAGTATAAAAACACTACATACCTCATAGAATGGCTAAAACAAAAACAGAAAACTGATGGTAACAAATGCTGGCAAGGATGTAGAACAAATGAATTCTCACGCTGCTGGTGGGAATGCAAAATGGTACAGCAACTTGGGAAAAGGTTGGCAGTCTTTTTTTTTTTTTAAGATTTATTTATTTATGCATACAAGAACTGGGGTACAGGCCAGAGGTGTGGAGGGTGAGAGGAGTCACCTGAGACAGAGTGGGGAACAGAACAGGCAGATCGACTGAAACACACTGCTGAGAGGAGCAGCAGGCAAGACAGGAGAGGTCTGCTTCATAGGTTGCACCTTAACCCTTGCGTCACCAGGGAGGTCCCCAGCAGTCTCATATAAAGTCAAACATGCCCCTGTACTATGACCCAGTGATGCCACTGCTCAGTATTTATACATGTGAATTAAAAGCTTATGTTCACACAAAAACCTGTATGTAAATGTTTATAGCAAACACTATTCACTACTGGCAAAAAGCAGCAACAACCCAAATGTCCTTCAACTGGTAAATAAACTGTTACATCCAATTAAAATGGAATACACATCTTGGCAATATAAAGGAACAAACGACTGACACATAATGAGTATCAAA